ATGGGCAGCGAGCGAGTACAAGCCAGGCATCAAGGGGTCGCCCTGCTCCCCCCCTCCCCTTGGGTAACGGTGTGGGAAGTGCCCGAGGCGTCGACCCACGTGTAGGAGCTAGGTGTGGCGTAGAACTGCCGGGCATAAGGAAGAAGCGGCTGCAGCTCAGGCCTTGCGTGCCACGCCTCCAGCATGGCCCCGCGTGAAACATGACCATAGGCCCCTGCCGCGTCAACAGAGAGTATGGTGGCCCGTGGATCTATTTCGGTGGCGACCTTGAGCACACGTGCAAGGGCCTCTGTGCCAGCACGCGTGCTCAAGCCCAACTGGTAAGGTAGGCACGCCTGCTGCAGCTGAGTCGCGTAGGCTTGGGATGGCTTGGGCTAGGACCCGACCAGTGATGCGTCTGAGAACATCCCCCACTACAAGGGCCCTCACGCCACCCCCGGATTTTCGCAGCGCGACCATGCGGCCAACACGGAGCGCGGCCAGGGCAGGAGGCGGGATGTCAGCTTGTGCCAGGCGTTCGGCCACGACGTGGAGCAGCTTAGAATCCTCCTCATCATCGAGGAGGATCCGGAGGTGTTCATTGGTGGCCCCGGAGGGGCCCGCCGCCGCTCCCCGGCGCGCGCATCGGAGCGCTGCAAAAAGTTGCGTCGCGGGGAGCGGGCATGCCTCAGCAGGTTGGAAGGCCGCAACTTCGGGCGCGAGGGGAGCATACGGCTCGGCGGGTCGGCGCCCAGGATCGCGCAACTCGGCGAGTGTGGCGTCTGTGCCCGGCGCGAGCGGCTCCGCGACTAGAGCGCGGGCCGCAGCAAAGAGCTCCCCCAAGTGCACCAGGGCAGCGGCGCGGCACGCCCTCCCATCCGGGCTGGCTATCACGTCGATCTCGGCAGCTCCCTCAGTCACCTCCGACCGCGCGCTGGCGGGCGCCGCTGCGCGTCGGCCTCGCCCCCAACCCCGGCCGCGACTGCGGCGAGCGGAGCCGGAACTGCGGGGGGCGGCAAGGGCGGAAACGCCCATGCTTCGCGCAGCGATTGGGCAAGCGCGTGCGCCGTGCACGCAAGGCGCGCGCCCCCGAAGGCCTCAAGTAAGGCGCCTTGCGCGACTGCTGGGCCAGCGCGTCGCGGAAAATCACAACCTGGGATGGGCATGCCTGAATGCGGTGGACGAGCTGCGGGATACCAGTATCTGGTCGCATCAGGCCGTCGGTATGGGCAATCCTGGCGAGCAAACGTGCGAGGCAAGCAGACTCTGCCGGCTCGGACGCGCGAAGGGCGCTCATCAGCTCGCACCATTGCGAGACTGCCACTGGGTGTGCCTGCCACGGCCAACAGCCCGGCGCTCGCATGCAGAAGAGGCATATAGAGCCACGAGCATCCGCGATCTCCTGGGTCCGTCCGGGGCGGGCCCACTTCCTGCCACGGCAGCAGCGCCGGGGAGTCTGGAGGCGTAAACCCTGGCGTGGGTGCTTCCGCGAATGTGGGCGCGACTTCTCTTGGGCGATGCTCGGGCACGCTCGCAGGCGCCACGGCAGCTAGCCTCGCGGACGCCGTTGCCTCCCGGCGTTTCAGCGCGGGGCGACGCGTACGGCGAAGCAAGGGGTGTGCGTGCGCTCAGTATCGCTCAGTGTGTCCGAAACCGTTTCCGCGTCCGATGCGTGTGAGGGGAGCGCCTCGCCGACGGATCCCAATGGCGCGTCAGCGGCGCAAGCGGGCAACAGGTGCGTCATGGGCGTCTGGGGGGCCTGGGTGATCGGCCCCGGCATGCGATCCAGTTTGAGAGCGGAGAAGTGCACGCGAACTGGGCGGCAAGTATGGCAGGAGCACGCGGTCGCGAGAGTGTACAAAAGAAGACTCACTGCGGCGAGAGCCTGGACGATTGCATCCAAAATCCGTGCAGCTTCGTCACGTGTCATCGCGAACATAAATTTCGTCAGCAAAGCGCAAGTCAAGCAATTTTGCAAGCCCATCCTGAAAATCAATACCCAAGTGTCCAACATCATTCCGCCATGCAACCAGTGCAACTTGCAAAACGCAACGAAATAGTCGGGGACTAAAACACAGCCTTGTCGCACTCCTGCGTTTATGTCAATTTATTTGCTTGACTCTGTTTCGCCAATCACTGTACCTGTTTGGTGTTGGTACAAACATTGTAACAACCAAATAATATGACATGATTTGAAATCTTTTCAACCGGCTCTTCTTCTTCACCTCCTTCACTTTCTTCTTCATCTTCCTCTTTAGCCTTTTCGTCTGCTTTCTCCTTGATCATCTGCAACGTCTTCATTCTCTGTCCGTTGATTTTCCTTTTCTCCATACCTTTCTGGTGCTCGCTTCCTTCAGCTTCACCTTCTTCGGTCTTCTTTTCTTCTCCTTCAGCTTTTGGCTCTCGAGCCAGTCCGGCAAGACGACAGATCATTGCCAACGGCCTGCCACTGTGGGGAGGAGCGCAACTCGCAGTCGACACCACGCTCGTCTCCCCCTGACGGCTACGGGCTCCCCCGCAGGGTTGCCGGTGGAACAGTTGGCGCTGCGCTTGTGACTGCCAAACGTGACCGCACATACCCTGGATTGCAACGGGGCCTACGGAGCAAACGGCTGACTGCTTCCGTTCCGCTGCGCGAGCATGCACGCCTGTTGGAACTGCAAGGCGAAGTGCTGCGCAAGCGTGCGACCGAGCACCCGCCCGTTAGTTGTCTAGAGCGCCCGAGCCTCACAAAGATGGCGAACCAATTTTTGAGACACATCCTGCCCGGACATACATGGACGTGTTCCATGTTGAACTATGGGATCACTTACCGCTCTCATAAAAAAAGTCGATTGCGATGTTCAATCTGTGAAAATTGTGTTGCTGGATGGTTTCGATGCCGGCTCTGGCCGTGGGATGGGTTGAACAAAAAGCTGGAGGAGCGTGTCGGACCAGTCGCCGGAAGCCGCCGGTCTTCAATTCCGGTCCTGGCATGGAACTAAGCCTTGCGAAAGGAAAAGGATCACCATCGCCTTCACAGTGGGAGCAAGACGCACAGCCTCTGACCCCCGCACCCTCGGGGCTCCCACGTGGTGTTGATGGACTCACAGCACAGGGTGCAGGACCCCATAGTCCGCTGCATGCCGCTGACTGGCGTTTCTCGGCCAGTCGCTGCCAACGCGGCTGCCGAGACCAACGCCACGCTCGATCAGCGCCTCATCGTCCGCGTCCCGGGTTCCTTGAGCGTCGGCCCCGCCGCGTGTCTTCAATCGCTTTCCTCGGACTTCTCGCTTTTCCTGTGCAGTCGCTTCTCCTGCAGCCGCTGCAGCGAGACGTGATGGCATTGTGGCATGGTCCATTCGTCGAAACATTGGACGCATAGTACAACGAACCGTTGACACTCGCTCCGCATGCTGACCCCCAAACATCGTCGCCTTGCTACTCGCCACAATACCCGCAAGGCTGCGTTGCGTGAGCGCCGTCGCGCGCAACCCAAACTGGAAAATGAATCTCGTTGCCGAGCCGCTCACAACAATCTTCGCCGCATCGTAAGACTAAGAAAGCCTTTTGGTCCAAATGGACATCTGAAGTGGAAGAGTTGCAGTTGACTTGCAAGCACGCAACGGGCAGAGCCAGTCGACCAAGGTTTAGCTGAAAACGGGCCCCCTTCTCCCTCCTATCTGCGCCACGCATTCCAAGTTGGACGATGTATCGAGCGCATCCACAAAGGTCGCGCTAATGCCTTTCGAAGCTTCGCTCCATCTTACTGTGCCCTGCAACAAGGAGTGGTTGGCGAAAGTCCTAGCTGTGACAACGTTGTGTACGAAGCTTTGCGCGTTGACTTGCGTTGGTGATCTTCAGTGCACGAAGCGCAGGGTACCCAGCCAACCTAGCACGCCATCGCCTCGCACAGCCTTGCGTAACCAGCACTCGGCGCATCGGGCACATCCATTTAGCGCGCTCCACCACTACTTCCCGCAATCCACCCCTCAATACCCACGCAGGATGGCTGCGGTGTTTGGGGGGCAAGGGCCCTTGCAAGAGCACATCTGAAAGGGCTTGTACTGGGTTTGAAGGTTGCAAAGCTTTACGGCTGCCCAGGGTTCCAGGTTTCCGCCACAGCTGGAACCACAAACAAGCATAAGACTTGAAGCAACTGCGCTTGGAGCGCGCCTGTCTTCTGAGCCACTGCCTGTCGAGCAGCTCTGGCGTGACGTCCGACAGGGCAATCATCAAAGCCTGGCGAGGCGTTCCAATATTCTAGGATTACAGGGCTACAGTATGTCAGCAGCTCTGCAGCTGTCACTCATATCGTGTCTTCGTTACCTAACCCTTGTCATGGTAACAACACAGACTAAGCCGTCAGCTTCATAGGTTGGTTCATTCCGCTTTGCATTCTTGCTTGGAATGTTCAAGGCCGTTACATCCCCAAACTGGTGGCAAAGTGGGGGTGGCCATGAGACCGGGCCATGGAGCTCCAAAGCCCCAAGCCTTAGCGCCTTAGACCATCTTAGGCCTGGGGTTTCTTTTCTCATTCTCTCAGCCCTCCAGGCACACAGAGCGTGGCGACATGATGTGACATGGGCCGAGCGAGGTGGAGCCTGTCTGTACGGCGACGCCCCCCGTGGCTCGGTCCCCACTTCAACGTCCTGTCTCATGCGTTCAGCATCGGCCTCGGCCTCACTAGATTCACTAGATTCATTCAACATCATGTCGGGGGCTCCGCGTGAAACTCGAGGGGGAAGCCTCCGGCTGTACATGGAGGCAGAAGGCCGGATGCCCTCGCAAACGGCGACTGTGCAGGGCTTTCAGGCGACAGCCAGCTGCTGTCACGCGCTTCCTCAATTTGCACATTCCGAAAACGACAAATAGGCTGTGATCAGTGCAACTTCCACACACACTCTAGAACTCTAGACTCAAGGAGATCTCAGCCGAAGAAAAAAACCCAACGACCCAGGAGTCACGAAAGCAACATTTGCAAGAAGCGCCCTGGAGTGCCAGTAACCACCGAGGTGCCAGGTTGCCACCACCACAGTGGCTTAAGGACCTCAGAGATTGGGCGGCTGAATCAACCCCGCAGCCAGCAGCTGGTACCAAAAACAGCCTTTTTCAAGAAAAGCCCTAAAAACCATGAAGCCTCCTCCCCAGTCTTAACATCGGGCCTCCGCTTCATCGGGGGAGTTCAGTTTTCTCGGGTTTAGGAAGTGGGCCTTCCGTGTGCTACGCCTTGCCTCGTCTCCGACTGTACTGCTGAACAGGGGCATACGATAAGTATAGAGGAATACAAGGAACAACGTTAGCCCTGCATCACGGCTGTCTTCAGGGACTTCAGTGCCATGACCATCCGCTGGCAAAACATGCCATGCAATCCAGCTGTGCGCGCTGCCTTTAAGCATCCTGATTCGCACTTCCAGGACCTGGGGACCCCAACCCCGCAATCAAAAGCACCCTCATCCCTCCCAAGCCCGAACCCCCCCCCCCCCCACCCCCAACCCTCAAAGGCAAACCATCCATCCCAAGCCTCAAATTTCGCAGAAAGGCATGTGTGCTCGAACTGGCTCCCTCAAACTCCCTGTCTGGGGTCTGCGCTCTTTGGCGCCAGAAAGACCGAGCCTTTGGTCCCGGCCGCGCCGAGGATGTAGAGCAGCCTTGGCTCGGGCTTGGGGGGGGCTGTTGGGGGGCTTTTCTGGCTTTTCTTCTTGGGAACAATATACGGCCCGCTGCCGCTGGCATTTTAAATTTACAGAGAAGGGGACCAGAAATTGGAGAACTGACTATTTAGGGCTATAAGGTTTTCGGGTTGAGGGACTCTGGGCTTCGAGACGGCGGGCATGGGGGTGGACTACCTGCTGCCTGGAATGATGTCATAGAATTACGGAGCTTCAGGGAGCTTCTAGGCTCAAGCGTATTCAGTGGTGTTTAACGAATGGCACTTCGCCCAGGAGCAGGACAAGGGCCAGCGAGAACAGCACCATCCTTCCGCTGCTTTGCAGGAATCGTCAAACAACAGCCCGCTCTCACAAAAGCATGGCACATGGACTGCGGCGCAAGCGGCGTGCACATGTGGCGACTTCCAGGGTTCTTTGCAATCACCTCGCAGCACGGAAATAAGAGAAGCTAGGCGCTTGGAGTTTGGGATTGTGTTGTTACAGGCCTGAGGCATAGGGTGTAAGGACAGTCAAAGCCTCGGCTTGACATGGATAGGCGGGATCGGTCTGGATCTAAAAGCTTTAGAGCGGAACGCGGAAGCCACCCCCTGCCTGCAGCTTGGCGTTGGCTTGCGTCAGCCAACCTCCAGCGCGGTCGAACTGCCTCACAGACACGGCAGCCATGGGCCCTGAACTGGGGGCTTCAGGTGTTCAGGCTTTCGGGTCGTTGAGTTCAAGGGTTTCAAGGGCTTACATATAGACCCAACCAAATGTAGGGTTTTTGTTTTGGCCTAAAATTTAAGGGTTAGGGTCAGGCTGTACTTGCGGCCTTTCGGTGGGGTCAAGCTTTCAAGATTTGCGAGGGTTCAGGGCATGGCCTCCCAGTGTCGGGGGCTGTTTTTTTTTTTTCCGACTTAAGCCTCAACGCCTGCCAGTCCAGAACTGCTCCCTGAACCTGGGAGCTTCCTCTGGGAGCCCTGAACGGGCCTGTTCATGTCGTCAGCTTGCCTCACGGAGTCCTTGGTCTCCTCGGCAATGCCTGCTACACAGAAGCGTGTGTAGGGTTTGGGGTTTCTTGGTGAACGTACGCTTCGCCCAGCCCAGACCTTAACTAAACCCGACAAACATCAACAAAAACCAAGGCACTCAAGCTGATGTCTCTCAGCTCATCCACTTTGCTGGAGAGCCTTTCGGCCAGCTCCTGTGACGTGCGCCAACGTCCCGTCGGACTGGCCGATCAGAACCAGGTAATTACTCCCGAAGGCTCTCAACTGCGCGTATCACATGCTTGCTTCTGGCCTGACACGCTTTCTAGAAGCGGCTCAGACTCCCAAGGTCTGAGGTATTTGGTTTTTTCCAACTATCTTCTTTCTGAACACACGGAAACAAACCCTCTTGCGTCTTGCGATGGGCAGCCTGCTCCGAATCGCTCTGCGCCCTACATGCACAACACCATCGTCCTAGAGAGTCCCGAGCCACCGTAGCAATGTTGGGGGGGGAAATCCAAAAATCCCGTGGGTGACTTCTCTGACACTGTACAGTCACACATCATCACACATCTGTGGGGTTCCAGGCTTCAGAGATTAGATATGGCTTGAATTTGGGTTCAAGTGTCCTCGTTGTGCAACTGGAGCTCCTCCTGCTCGGCAGCTGCATAGGCAACAGCCGCAGCCTTCCAACATGCGGGCTGCATGATATTTGGGGTTTGAGGTGTCATGGCTGCTTTCGAATACCATGAATATGTCCCATCCATAGCTTTGGCGCAAGGCACCCTGGCATCCCATTTAGGGTTCAGCCCTCAAGGCCCCCAGAGATGCCATGAAGCTGAACACAAAAGGAATCTTGGTCACCCCCCCTAAGCCTGAAACCCCCCTGAACTTAATCCCATCCAAGCCTGGCCCTTCGCATTCACGGCATCACTGCGGCCGAACCGCGACCTGGACATCACAACGTCCTTCCTGTCGTAGGGCTGGGAAAGTTTGAGGATTTCAGACCTTTCTGAGGCACGTCGAAGCTCTACAATGGGGGTTGTTAGGGTCCCACTGTTTATTGATAACTGCTGGCAAACCCCGTCAAGGCCGGAACTCTAACCAACCAAGGAGCCCGAAAAGCAAAGCTCGGTGGTCAATGTTGTATCTTCCCTTCCTCGGCAACGGTCGAAACTCACAAGAATCAACTCTGCTCAACTCCAAGTGGGTCCAAGCAGGGCCTTCCAACCGCTGCTGCATGAAAAGCTATGAAAGGCTATGCCAAACGCCATGACGACCCCAATGGCATCCAACAGCACGTGCGCACTTTCGGCTTTGTTGGAAGGCGCCTGGATGCAGCGGTGACATCCTACGCAACAGAGCTTGCAACGGCTTACCCGTCATTTTCGGTTCGATACCCTTTGTGGTTTGGTGAGAGCATAATTTCGTGCATTTGTATGTGCCTACATAGATCTTGTCACGTGTGTATTCAAGAATGCAAGACATTAAAAGCTCAACCCCGATACCGAATATCCTTGTCGGTCAAGCCCTGCGAAACCTTGAACGACCTAAACCTCATGAGCCCTACTGAAACCCAAAAGCTTCAAAACCCAAAAGCGCCAAACCCTCAAGCCAAACCCTGGCAAAACAAACACACCCACCCACCCCCCCTCACCCCGCAATACTTCTCCCATCACCGAGGGGCGGCTTGGGCTCCCGTGCCGCTGCCACTTGCTCCTCTTCGGAGACCATCATGGCTCCTTCTGGCTCCTGAGCTTCTGAGGTCACTGAGTTGGTGCGATGTATGATGTGCAGAGTGGCTAGGCAGGGGGGGTTTCGGGTTTCGTAGGAGCAGCTGAGGGACTGTCTGGGATTTGCACACCTGCCTGCCATGCTCCTTTCCGGCATGCAAGTTTCTTTCATGTGCTAAGGCTTAGCACTCGCAGCGCACACAGAGCCGTCAATGTCGGCAACGTGTAAGGCACGAGTCGCGCGAAAGCTTTGTGCAGTTGCAGTCCCGCTCGTTCCTTTTCCGGGCAGACCCGGGACCCAAAAACACCCTACAACCATGAAGCCATGCGGCAGAGATGGGTGGTGCCCAATGACCTGTGCCTACCTCGGCCTACGTGTCTTGAGCCAAACACGGCCATGCAACACTTCACTTGCAACTGCAAGCCACTGCCTCCAATACTGCACACACGTGGGCGCATCCGAACCGAAAAAACCCACCAAAGCCTGCCGCGTCAGCAGCTTCGGCAGCTTCTGCAAAAGCATGACCTCAGCTGGTTTCCTGGGATATATGCTGTCCAAAATCCCAAGCCCTAACTGGCAGCCCCGATAAATATGTAGTATATATATATACATATATATAGACAGATATGTAAATACATATATATATATATATATATTCTATTTATTATTTATTTTTTATTATTTATTTATTTATTTACTTAGATTTATCTATTTCTTTATTTGTTTTTTGTTTAATTTTAATAATTCAGTGTGTGTGTGTGTACATATATATATATGTATATACGTAGACATATATATACACACATATACGATGCATACGCGTAACTGTGCACACCTTGAACCACACAGGAACACCCATATGCAGTGTGGCCTGTCATGACCCATTCTGTGTTTCGGCCCCTGGAGTATATTGCACAGAGGAAATGATCAAGAACGGTCGGAACTTGCTGTCCGAGCCCTACTACCCCACCATGAAGACATGAACCACGACTTTGAGATGCGTTCCCATCTCATCTCATCTTGTCCATTACAGCTTGCATCAACATCTGTACAGCTTCGTTCTAAAACCAACAAAAACTACTCTCCTACATCACAACTCAGCCTGCCTTCTAGGCACCGGGCGATGACAGGGGCCTCCACCAACTTCGCCACCGCGCTCAGTAACACCTCGCCGGCGTTGATCAGGCCCTGGCCAGGGTGTCCAGGACTTGGCGGTTTGGATCGGATTGTTTGGGTGTGTAGGTGTGGCATGGAGTGGCTTTCAGGTTTATAAGGCCCTGGGAGTCGGGTTGGATTTCAACTCTGCGGACTCTTACATGCCTGGGTAGGCTTACTGCTTTCTCCACTGCTGCTTCTACCCTGGTGCTGCCGCAGCTGCACGTACGCCACTGCTACTTCCCACTGGTTCCCATCCAGCGCCGGGAGCACGCGGCAATCACCCGCGAGCAGCTTGGCCGCTCGGCTTCTAATGGTCTCACCTGAGGCAGTTTCGGGGTTATGGAGTTCACGCTCAGCCCGGCGTAGGGTAGACGCGAATGTTGCTGTTTGGGGTTGGGGTGCGTTAGTTAAGGAAAAGCAGCTACTCCGATCAGTTTGACAGTGGCTGCCAGTATCCACTCGCTGCAAGAACTCCTAGCCCATTAACCCGTAGCAGCTACGGCGTAGCTTCCCCCTTTAGACGAACCAGATCCCCTAAATCGCGAGCCAAACCCAGGGGCTTAGGGCTCAAACTCCCCCAATGCCCCCTAAGTAAACCCAAGCCTCACTTGGAGGTACGGGCACTTCTTAAACAATTTGTACTTATCACCCAATCAGAGCCATGTCAGCGTACTGAAGGGCGTGATAAGTACAACTATGACTGGGGTAAGTGCCCTGAGCCTCGAAAGTAGACACCCTCCCTTTGGTGCCCCTCCCGGGTTCAAGGCCGTCGGCGCCACTCGCGGCCAGGCCCGCAGGACGGACCGCCTTCTCGAAGCCCTGCGCAAACCATGTTTTGGGATGCTTTAGGGGGCCTGTAGGGCGTAAGAGTGGGTGCAAGGTGTAGGAGGGTCGAGGGGTTTAGGGGTCCGGCAAGCCCAAATGCCATGCTCCAGGCGAAGAACCGATGGGCAGCTTGCCATCCTTTCAGCCCTTTTCGATCACTACAAAGCCCAGTAGGGCAGCCAACTTTCGGGCCAGAAGTCCCAAAGCCCAAGCTCCAGCTCCTCAGCCTGGCCTCCAGGGCCTTCCGTGTCTTTTCCTGGGCGGCTTTTTGGTCAACCTATTCCGGGGGCTCGGCCAAACCCCAAATCCAAGACCGGTAATCTGACCCACTCCTAAATCCAAACCATCCTCGGACAGGCATTGAAGCTGCCAGGTCTCATCGAAGTTATCCAGGCTGACCTCCGACTGCTGTATCTGTGCCGCTGCCCAGGCACCTTCGTATCTCTCTCAGTCCAATCAGAACTTGAGTGTGGGGTGTGGAGTCTGGGCAGTGACAGGCGGCACCTGGGTTGACGGAAAGCGACGGAGCGGCACCTGGGTTGACGGAAAGCGACGGAGGCTGTTCTTCCTCCCCCATGGTCATTGCTCTGGCCACCGGCTCCGGCTTGTCAAGCCATACCGATACTCAACCAGTTAGACTAGCGGCTCGGCTCTGAACTTCGAATGGGGCAAAGGCTCAGTGAGGTTCAGGTTGGCAGCATGTTAATCGCAGCATACTGCCGTGTTCACATCGCATGAGGAGGCAAGAGGCGCTCGCTCGCCCACTTGTTTTTTGTGCACCAACTTGGGTAGTGTGAATTGTGTATGTCTGATCTGCGGTTGGCTTAGGAGTGAAGGTTTCTTGGGTCTAAGGCATGTGCTATTCTACGTTGGAGGGTGAAACTTCTGCCTTCGAGCCGTCGCAGTCGCCGACAATGGGTATAGGAAAGTGGTGGGCCCTAAGCCCTATACATCCAAACAGCGACTGCAGATCTCGGAAGACCGACTGCACAGGTCCTCGAACCGGCCAGTGTCCAAAGCAGGCGCAGGAGCACAGGGCGACCGTGAGTGTCTGTCGAACTGCCATTGATTCCAAACCTTTAAGTTAAAGTTAATAACTCTGAGGCTCCAAGAATGGCGCCGCTTTTTTGTCATGTGCTGCCCCATCACTCGTCCTCCACTTCGGGCGCATCCCACGTCGTCTCTCCCGTGGCCTCGCATGCTCCCCAGAGGAACACTACAAGCCCTTACTGCAAGAGCCATTCCTCCCAACACACCCTTTAAGCCCCGGAAACCTACAGACCCACTAATTAACGTCTCACAGAACCCTTGAAAGCCCCAGGCTCTCAAAGGCCCGTGCCGAGGCCTCGTTGTAGTAGTACTCGTTGCCCTCGGCATCCAAGCACCGGAACCATCCCGGGGCCCCATCGACCTGAAACACAGGGCTAGGACGCAAGTGGATGTATCGATGCAAAGCACGACCAACCTGTGAGATCAACAGCTTCAGATCACAGCCAAGGTTGGCTCATGGGTGCAGTAGGGCTTTTGGGGGGGCTTCTTTCTGGGTTCAGGGGTGCTTGGTTTGTAGAATATCCCTTTCACAGACAAGTATGGCTACCTAACAGTCAAGAACTAGGGTGGGGTTCAGGTCCCGGTGTCCGGGACAGAATGTGGGCTGAGGCTCCTTTGGCGTTAGCGCGGCTCATTTCTTTGGGCTCCTTTGTTGACTTGCATTGACATGTCAAGCTGGAATTTGCACCTGTGGACTCATCCGATCCACCACATACTCTTCTCAACCTTTGCAACCCCCTTAAAATCAAAGGGGATCGGGCTTACTTCATGCCGATACTTCAGGAGCCTTGTTAGTAGCGGGAGTCTGCTCAGAACGTCATGGCTGGGTTGTCACCGTTCGACCAATAACGGGACCCCCGAAAAGGAGCCCTGCTTGGTTTAAGGCTCGTTGCACCTCGCGCGGTACTGGAAATTCGTCCACAGGTACCGACTAGATGAAGGAATACCATGCTATGCAATTCAGCATATGTGAGACTCATGCAGCGTGATTCTCGCCGCGGTTCCCTGCTCTGAAGGCATTTGCCAAGTCATACATAGGGCTACAAAGGGCTACGCCGCTACGCCTACTTTCAGCTGCCATGGGGCCGGAAGGCAGAGGAACTGATATGAAACCGACACGAACTCCGGTATTCGGGGTTGAAACGAATTTTTCAGCATGACGATCACTCCGTGGAGTGGGAGACCAGGTGCACTGCCCTGTGGTTTCACAGCTTGTGCACCCAAAGCGCTGCCATAACTGAGCCTTGGATCACAGGGCTCAGGGCTTGGGGCGTGGGACTCTTTGTTTTGAGGTTGAGTTGAAGGATGTTGAAGTTCGAGCGACTGTCCCTTATACGGTTGAGTTTAGGGGCTGGCTGGTAGATCCACGGGCCCAAATCAGAATTGAGAGTTGCGAAGTGATCCACATGTTGAGCCTGGAGTGCACAGGTTGAGCAGGTTGAGGCCTGAATCCTATGCCTTCCCACCCCACATCACCCCGCATCCCCACGCATCCCCGCACATCCCCGCACATCCCCACAACATCCCGAAGCTGTCTGGTGCCCCCGAAGCCCCGGGGCGCGTACTTCTGGCCACGGCATGAAACGGGACAGCTCCGCTGCCCTGCCAAGAGCACCTGGAAGCCAGGTGAGGAGGGAATCAATCGTCCAGGTACTGCAAGGCATGTTCCAGGTGCAGTGCCCAATCTGTGTCTGTGTCTGTGTCTGTCACATTGTGGGCTACATTGTGGCGCGTTAAGCACAAAGTTGGAGGCTTCTCGGTGGACTCCAGGTGCCCGGCTTCAGCGTGCAGCGCTGACATCGTGATAGCTCGTGACGACCTCCAGCTTAAAATGGAGCGGCGAACTAATACTATGGGCGCAATGCACTTGGGATTCAGGGCTGGGGCTTGGGTGTCGGGTCTTTCCTCCCAGGCATGAAATATACAGAAAATCCAGACGCTGGAATAGCAATGGAGCAACACCTAGCACACGCAAATGCGTGGAGGGCGCATGCCGGTGGAGAGGATTGTTCAGCTGCATTGCTTCAGTTCAGGCAGCCTCTCACCCCTAAAGATGAGCACCCTCAAAGCCCTGAACCCTCAACCTTAGGCCGAGGGGCGTCCGAAAACAGCCTCCGGTAGTTGACGTTGCTGAGGTCTGCATCCGGCTGCAGGTAGAGGATAGCACGCTGCACCTTGAGAGGCACTTTGGCCTAGGGCTTTTTCTTTTTTCGCGAGCACATGTCTTTTGTCTCTTAGCTCGCGAACTAAAACTATTACTAAACGCGTGTGAACAACGTGAACACCGCGAAAAGAAGTTTACTGAATGCAAGGAACACACGATTTTCATGTTAAACTACAAATGCACTTCTCCCCCTCCACAGAAATATTATGCGGAGCCATACGCGTATTAACGCTCTCGGGGTAGGAAGGTGCAGGTGGCGCACTGTCACCAAGACCATGGGCCGTCGTCTAACGGAGGAACCCTGAAGTCCCAAAAAATTCCGAAAACAGCTGCAGCTAGAGCAGCTAGAGAGGCAGCCCCCAGAGTCGGAGCAGGATGGGCACCCCACCCCCTCTCCCCCCGCCAAAAAAAAAACTCAAGCCAGGCCGCATCCTCGATGTGGAAAGGATGCCCGACCTGCGCATGGCTTTCCTGTAGCTATTTCTCTGCATTCGAGAACCAAATGCGCAGGTTGAGGGCTATTTTGGGGGGCTCTCGGAAACAGCTCCAGCGGTTTGAAGTCCTCTGCCTTTATTCTTGATAACGACGCTCTTCGGCTCTCACAGCCTAAAACCTAAAACCCTCCAACCGAAACGAATTAACAAAACTAAGCCCAGACCACTTTAGCAACATTAACACGAGGGCGAACATCCACACTTTGAAAACCAATCCTGTTGATGGGGCCATGGGGGCGATGAACATCACCCATACACACTCCGTGGGATTCTCCTCAGCGGATACTTTGTGGGATTCTTTGCAGGTTTCCCAACGGGGTGGGGGGGGAGACCTGGGCCAGGATAGCTGAGTCCAAATCTAGCAGCCTCACGTCGAGGGTGGGCAAAACAAGCTTGAACCCGGAAACTGCAAAAACACCGGAAAAAAGGCCTGCTCTAAGGCATGCTGAATCTGCTCCGCAGACACGTGGTCCTGTGCAAGGGTCAGGTGGGAGCTGAGTCTTGGGTTTGGGGGCATAGAGGGGCAGGGTTTCGGTGTTCGGGTTTCGTTTTGGGGTTTATGTTTTGGGGTTTGTGGGGTTCAGCACGCCCTAGAAGGCTGGATCAACACTGGTCTCCGCAGCTTCATGCTTCAATATCTTCGGGAAGTTGGGACAGGCACACCCCCTCACAGAGAGCTTGAGGCTAGGCTAAAGGCTTGTCAACGTCTCCGCCCTCAGCAACGTGAGTAGGCAAGAGTCTGATATGCAGGCATCGAGTGCCCCCAAAGTTGCGGCTGGGTGCTACTGCCAGGTGCCGCCCGCCTCATGAGTAATGTGCTGCATCTCCTTGAGCAGCCTCATGATGAAGTTGTGCCTGAGCGTGTCTAAGTCTGAGGTTTCTCTGGTCTACAGCACCTGGCTCGAACGTAGACAGGATCTAAAGCAGGCATTGTCAGCGGCACAGGGATAGCCTTCGAAATTCGAAGCCACGGGAACGTGATCAAGAAAAGATACTGACCAACTCCAAGTCTGCCGACTCAGGCTTGAGAGGCAACAGGGGCCTCTTCATGCAGGGAGGTGCAACTCTCTGCAACCCTGAACCCTACCCTTTCAGGCCCAACTCTCACAGCCGTGTCGCTTCTTGTAAAGCACGTCGCCCATCTCCTTGATGGCCTTACGAACCTGAACCCGGAGAAACCCCCGCATAAATTTTGGGGGGGTCGAGCCCGGCGAAACATGGATCATTTTGGGTTGGCATTTTAAGGGTGTAGGGATTCGCCTCGGGTCCTTGTGGCATGCATGACTGAACGTTAATTTCATCCCCGTGGCCGTGAAGCTCAGAATCTCTAGATTCAAAACCCTATTTGGCCTACAAACCCTCTAAACCCCAAATCCCTAGTAAACCACTGTGATCCCTTCGGCCACCTGCGTGGTCTCCGCACGCTCGGCCGACTTGACCATGGCCCGCTCCGCGTAGCCGATGTCGTGCGAATCCTCGGCAAGGAGCCCCGGACTTTGGTTCTACCCGAACTGACAGAGGGCCTCTCAGCTCTCCAGCTGCCACTCTGTCAGAAGCCCTCTGAGGACCCTTGCCAGATTGTTTTACAGTAAAGACACAGTAAACACACACACACACACACACACACACATGCACAAAGGACTCCCTTTTCCAAAAAGGAAGCGCAATTGTCAAAAAGAGCCCTTCACACTCTGCACCCCAAGAGCCCCATGCCGAGCGAATGTGCATCCGGAGCTCATCCAAGGGTGGCTTGGTCTGCATCATGACAGTCGTCCAGTCAGGATCTAACCTCGGGGCGGTGGGGGCGGGGGGGTAGCAACAAAAGCTGCCTTGGAGGCGATGGCCCAAGCTGTTCAGGATCATGTCCTTCCACTGAGAAGCGGAGGCATCAGGCATCTACCACTTTGATGGCCAAGCCTTGAAGGCCTTCGAGTCTCGCACAAGTGTGATGGGGACGTGCGCTGCGCGCTCCATGTTGCCGTTCTCAACTGGCTGGTCCAAGGGGGGCGGGTTCGGACATGAAGCCGCTGACGGACGTAATTCCATTGAAGCTCCGTGCAGGAAAACCAAGGCTCATTCAGTTGCCAGTTGGGAGTCTGCAGACTAGGGAAAGCATGACATTGGCCAAACGGGCCAAAAGGTTCCAACCAAAGGCCCAAGAAAAGGCTGCAGCAATGAAACACGTGGAGCCCTGCGCCCGAGGAGTATAACCGTAACACCAGACCCTACAACCCAAGACCTCAAATCGTTGAGTTTGGAGTGAAGCTTTCTCGCCTCAAAAGGCGACTACGGCATCTGGATGCCCCCTTGACCTTCAGGAACAACCTTGACCCAGCTAGAGTAGACTCAAGCCCTGGGCTGAAGGGTCCCACGTGTCTATGCCCAGCAACAAGGCGTCGCAGAACTCGTTGTAACTGACCTGGCCATCCTTCCGAGTGTCGAAGTGCCTCATGATCTTGAGCACGTCCTCATGTGGCGGCTTGGGGCTTGACGCGGCCTGTCGGGGTGTTAGGGTCTTGGGGCGGATGTGGGTTGGAGGTTTTGACGTTACGCCCGAGGCTTTATGAGCATGGCACTGAGATAGATCCTCCGGGACATCAATCCCAAGTCCACTAAGGGCAGTCCTCGGGCGACAGCTGGAAGCCGAATCTCTCCAGAGCCTGCTGGAACTCGGCCACCGTGAGCACCTAAAAAGCACAAAGGATTTTTTGGGTTTTTTTGGGGGGCAAGGGTTTATGGTTTAGGGTTGCAGTGTTGTATCCCGGGCGAAGAGCGCTTTTGCCTGAGAGATCCTGCAAGCACCTGTGCCTGTGCCTTCAGAAGCCTGCAACTTCAGCTGGGCTACGCCATCGTGGTCGCCATCGAACTTCCTTCACACTTAGCAATGCAAGGGTTGGGAGATTAGTTTAGGAGCCCAGTCCATGTTAGCTCATTTAGGGAGGCTAAAAGTCGAGGGCTGAGGGCTGACTGGGGTCAGAAGACGGGGGAATCCCGTGAAGAAAAGCGCGACTATCTAGCAATGGGACTTTCAGGCGTCAGAATTCGCTCCGGAACCCTTTGCCGCGCCTGAAGACGTCCCGCACCAGTGGGTACTGCTGCCGCATAGAGTCCCTGATCTTCTGAAGGACTGCCTTGTGCGCGCGGGTGCCATCACCTTCTCACCTTACATCCTCAACTGAGAATCAACCTGACATTCCGAAATAGATCAAATAGATCCCCCCACATCCCAGCCCCATGATCCACCTCGAGGTCGAACGTCCGCAGCAAGGCATCCGGGTTCTCAAAGACCTGGGGCTGAGGGTCCCGGCCTTTTTTCGGGCATGCCCCAAGGTTTGCTGGTTTACGGTTCAAGGTTCAGGCTTGAGGGCTCACGATGTGAGATGTGCTCTCGGCCAAGGAGCCTTCTTCGAGTACTCATCCATGTCCACGATGAGGAACTCGTTGTTGTAGATCTTGATGACCTTGCCTGGCGGGAGCTAAAAGCCCAAGACCACGTGAGATCCGAGGATCTCGACTCAAAGACGTTCCAAGAAGTTCACGAGAGGACTCGAGCGAAGCATCGGCCCAGAGGGCTTTTCGGGATGGGCCGAGGTCGCATCGAAAGTGAAGAGAACATATTCCCATGGCCTGGGATGAGGTCATTGGGCTGGAAGAGCTCTCCGGTGACCTGGTTCATGTGGATACCTGGGCCAACACGTGCCAGGATACTCAAAGGTGCTCAAAAAAAGGCCGGGGAGCCCTACACATCCCTAAACCCCAAGCCCCTACACCCTGTGTGGTTGCATGGTGCTTATGTCTCTGGGAACGCTCTTGGAGCTGAGATGTAAGGCCTGGGATCCGCCCTGCACTGCTGGTGTTGAAGTTGACGTTCTTGAGAGCTTTGCCCCCGAGGTTGTACTGCAACGAGCTTCCTTTGGACACGCTTTGTCTCAGCTGCTCGACTCTGCTGGGCATCTGCATACACGGTTCCATTGCCGAGCTTCCTCCGATACCCCTACACACCTAAGCGGCTAAACTTCCGAAACTCCCCCAAACCACTTACCCGCCCCAAACGTTTGAGAACTTGCAAGAGGGTCCTCCTACGGGCGCCATTTATGGCAGGATGGCTTATACACTTTTTCAATGAAACCACCCACCCACCTGACCAGCCCAGACCCCAGACCCTCGTGCTAAGCCCCGCAAAACAACCTCAGAGACGCCTGGGGTATCCCGGAAATGGACCCTGGAGGACTGCCCATATCGGAGCCCTCCGAGTTCGCTTCTTGGGCCGGGACCCTTCTCCAAGAAGCGGCCCGTGACGATGCCTCGGCTACGCGCGTTTAGTTTTTCTACATGCGGGTTTCTTGGGGTCCTCGGGGATTTCGCTTTTTCATCCTTGTTGATGGTTTCTCTTGGGGTTCGAGTGTGAAAAAATCACCCCGAAGCTTCACACAACCTAAACACAACCTAGACCCCCCGAAGCCCCCTTAATCCCACGGTGTGCTCGAAAGACGCCCTTGTTGGTATCCTTAAGAAACTCCCAAAAACAAGCCTAACACCGAGAACCGAGCCCGAATCTACCGAGCCTCCAGAAAAATCTGCGAAAGTTTAGCTTCGGCCGGGAAGCCCAAGTTCCTCTGCGGCGGCTCGTGGATGGCCACGGTGTCGTCCTTGCATCGTGCGGCGTGGGGTCGCGAGGCCACGGTCGGCCACCCACGCGTGCGGCGAAACCCTCGTTGCTCGGGCTCAGAATTGGGCTTCAAGGATTGCTCTAAAAGTTGTAGTAACTCGCCCCAGAGCTCTGCTGTAGCCCCTGGTCCTGCAGGTAGTAGCTAATGACGAAGATGCGGTCTGCGTCCTCAGACAGAGAGGCAGAAGGGAACAGGCCAGGCGGAGGCGGGGAAGCGCTTCCCCTTCTTCCCTTCTTCAGTTCGCTTCCCTTCACTGTGGGGCTGCGCAGTGCCACCGGGGTGTTGGGGGCCTCTTCAGGGCTCTTAGGGTGCCCTTCAAACCCAAAAAGGCCGAGCTTCCTCCGGCTTCGGGTTGGCGAACTTTGCCTTGAACCGCAGGACCTTTCCTTCGTGCCGGAAGAGCTTCACGAAGTCCTGCAGAGAGCTCTTGGCCGGGGTTAGGGTTCAGAGTTTCGGGGCTTCGGGTCCTAAGAGGGTTAGGGCCCAGGGTTTTTGGCGCTTCAGAAGCTTCGTTGCGACGAAAGAAACGCAGACATCGGCTTTCATGACGCACGCTTCCCTATCAATAACGACGAGTCATCCTGTTCGACTGCAAGAGCTGCGGCTCTTCCCGTCTTCTCGGCTGGATCATCCCTGCAACACGGCCACTTATTTCGGAAGAGCTTCTACGGCTTAAGGTAACACCCCCAAACCTCAGGTCCTTCTTCGGCTGCTTCGGGATGAGGTGTGTCACGGAGCCCATGGAGTCATCCCAGGAGCCGTAGCCAGTGTAGGGCGGGGTCTTCGCCCTGGCCATCGTCCCCCCGGCCCTCTTCTAAGACCAATATATTGCCGTAAGCAGGCCCGAATCCCTAAAGCCTCCCAAGCCACTAAGCCTGACTACGACAAACCACCGAAGGACGTCCCCGCGCACGCCTGGGAACCGCCCGCTCGGGTAGGCGCACATCCACGCGCGGCTCCAGGTCCTTCAGGGAGGGGTTTTTTGGGGGGCCGGGGGGGGGTGGGAGGCTCAGGAAGTTCATAGAGGGGACTTTGGGGACTTAAGAGGGGTGTTTGGTGCTAAGGGCTGAGGAGCTTCAGAGTTCAGCCTGGGTTCAGAGTCTGAGTTCTGGCTTGCGAGTCAGGGGGTTCTTTCAAGCCTTATAGGCTGCAGTCAGTAACTGTCACATCCATAACAAGACCAGGACCACCAGCTCAGCATCTACTGGCAGATTTCGAGTCGCAAGCATTGGTTTTGGTGAACAGCATCGTGGCGGTAGTAGTAACAGTTTGAGACGTTGTTTACAGCTGCTACACAAGCAATACCAACGTCTAATGGTGCGTAAACAATTGACAATTGATATAGCTCTGACTGAATCTAACACTCTGAAATGATGTCAGAAAGCCTCCAAATGCTCTGAAATCTGGAGTGCTTCCCCGATTTCCCCCCTGTCCATGCCCAGCTCGTTCTGGAAATGGCGCCGGGTGAACCTGGGAGGAAGGCGTCTTCGCCCGCCTTTCTGGGCTTTTGGAAGCCCACAACCCTCTTGAGCCCAATAGGAACCCCAAGACCGACACCTATAGGAACCCCAAGACCGACAGACCCTAAAAATTCGGGGGTACCCTGGAACCCCGGATGAGCCCCGGGGCTCATCTGCATCGTAGATGAAGAAGGAGTAGGTGCCCAGCAGCTGAACCTCAGATAGGGCTCTAAGTCTAAGGGTCTTGAACTTCTTCTGGCTCTGCGTCTCTGCCCTTGGGCTGCCCAGGCACGGTCATGCCCACTCGGAAGTCGTGCCCATGAACAAACCTCAGAACTCTGAAGCGCCATGGCCCGGACTCTTGAAGGCAGCTGTGTCAGTGAAAAAAACTTAATGGTGCCCAAAAGGCCTTACATTTTCGTACAGTATGTATTTAACAGCAAGTGTGAAAAACACGCACCTGTAATGGGGCCCACTCTCTAATTTCATGGGGAAAATCGAGGCTTTTGTTCTCTTGTGTTTGGAGCTCTGCCGCCTGGGTGCTCGTTCTTCTTGCGGGCTTGCGCCTGAGGTCCCTCGACCTTGTACGCGCCCATGGGCATCTTCCCCTTTCGGAAGAAGATCGGGAAGTTGTCCCTGGCGCTGGCGCGCGCGCGAGCTTCTCTTCTGTCTGTGCCGGCACTCTTCTCAAGCCACGTCTGCATGCAACATGCAGCAAGCACAGCGTGCCAGACGACGGCAAGACGGCGGTATAGCGAGACCAGGACTGCCGCTGCCTGCCACAGTTCAGCGGGTACTGCTCCCGGATCTCGATCATATCATCCGCAAGGAAGAACATAATGGTGAACGGCCTGCAGGATGGCAGAGTTGAGTCAAGATTGGCCAGAGGTCATCCATTCAACAGCTTAGGGTTTCAATCCTGGTGGTTGAGATCACTCCCACTTTGGGCGATCAACCACTAGAACTGTCTTCTGTCTGCGCGGCTGTGGCCCTCAAACTGAACACTGAGTGCTCCACCGGCGCTCGAACTGAGGTGTGTAGACCTGGGCTGCCATCTAAGAACTGGCGTGTGGAATTTTAGCTTCTAGAGACTCCGAAACTCTTACTGTTGCCAAAGCAGTGCCAGGACTGAAGCTTCATAGGGGCCATGGCCTCGAGAATCCAAACCAAGCTGATGTACTAACGGGAACCCTCCATGCAGTGCGTGCTTTGGCAAGTCGCTCGTCTGGCTGGCAGTTCTGCCCCTGCACCCTAGCCCTCCTAAACCCTAACATCTACCAAAGACGCCATAAGCTGCTGAACTCGAACCAGCCTGAACCTCAACCCATACAGGAGAGAGCTGAGGCCCAGGGCATCATCCAGCACAGCGAAGAATCGCAGCACCTAAAATTTCCAGAAGCCCCAGTGTTTGCTACCAAAGTCCAAAGGTACAGGGTCCCACTCTGTCTCTGGGCCAGCAGTTTTCAGAGGGGAAAAGTAAGTTGGCTGGGCCTTCTTGTCGTTCTCCAAGAACTGCTGCATGTCCGCATTGATGTGCCCACCACCGAGCATCACCTGAAGCAGCTGGGGCCAAGGGAATGTAGAGGCGGCCTAGGGTTTACGAGTTCCGGTTTAAGCTTTGGGTTTCATGGCTCCGCCTTTGAACTGCTTTGCGTGGGAGACTCATCCCAGGGATGCGGCGTGGGGGTGGGCACTCGAAGGATACTCCGGGGTTGGAGAACCCTGGGAGATGCGGGGCAAGGAGTACACAAAAACCAAGGTGAAGAGACTAGCTGTGGCGGGAACACCCAACACCCAACACCCGGAAAAAAGGCCCTGAACCAGAAATCGTGGGAGGAAAATGATCTCCCGGCCCAGCCTCTCTGTAGACCTTTTCATAGGTCCTGGACTGAACCGGCGCGTGGTTCTTCCTCAGCGGCTGGGGGCTTTGAGGGTTTTTTGTTGCAGGGACTTGGGGGCTGTTTTGGGGGCTTAGGCTTGAGGGCCTCAAACGGGGTCCAGCCCACAAGACCTCGAAACCAAAAACTCAAACAAGCAACTCTATCTGGAGTACATCATGTCATATCCACTCTACACCGTAAAGATTGAAAACCCTCACGCCCTAGAGTCTCAAAGCTTTCAGATTGCAGGTTTTCAGGGCCTCACCCCAAGGCGCCGTCTCTGCAATCCGAGGCGCATGGCCTCGCGAGTCTCCTGGTGTTGGCGTGGGGCTCAGGGGTTATTGCTTCAGGTTTCGAGAGGTCGGGGTTGAGGCTTTCGCAGGGTTCGGCCTATTTGCATCTGGGGTCCTAAGGTTTATCGGGCTCAGTGCCCCCAAGAAACCACACCTGGAGAGCAAAAACCCTTCGCCCCCTGTAAGCCCTCACCCAAGCTCCTGGAAGGGATCCATCTCCTCCGGTTCCGGAGGCCCTTGAGGGTCGCCAGCGCTCTCGTAGTACTCCCTGATGGTGTTAGGGGTATCTCGGTTCTGAAATGCACATGAGGGGGTGCAGGGCTTGGGAACTTTATAGGTTTAGAGGAGTTTGGGGCTGGCCTTGTCTTCTAAGCGATTCCCTTTGCTCGAGGCCCGGAGAGCTGGAGGGCGGGCACACCCCCAAGCTGAACACTCGCCTGGTAAAGGGATCGCAGTCTGTCACAAAGATGGTACGGCCGTAGATCTGCAGTGTCGTGCCAACCCGGATGTCCTGCTTGGGGGCTTGGAGGAAAGGCAAGGCAGGCTTTTCGCGGCATTCAACAGCTCCAGGCAGGTATATCTCCAGCTCTGCTTAAGACAAAGGTCAGACTGGGACCCCGGGCTAAGGCAGAGGAACCTTGCACCCCCAACTCCCCTCGGCCTTGCCTTGACATGACACACCCGCACAGCCGCATACAGCCGCGAAACCCTCAACCTTTGCTGCAGATCCTCGGTTTTGAGGTAACCTCCGTGAGCAGCAGGGAAGCGATGCCGCCGAATGAGCTGGCCTTCAGGGGTTAAGCTTGTAAGGCTTAGAGTCTTAGAGCTTAAGGAGGACGAGGTTGCGGTCTAGAGTTTGGAGCGGGCTTTGGATGTTTAAGGTTGATGATTTTTGAGGGCTTAGTCAGGGGCTTGCCCGGCCTTGGGGTATGCCACTGTTGTCCTGCTTTGGCTCGATGATCTGGCAGGTATCATCCTGCAGACAGGGCTGCCCCAAACGGGTCAAGGGTTTAGCGTTGAAACTTGTGGCCTTAAGGGTCAGGCCCGAGTACGGGGAGGGCTCAGGGTTGGAGCAAACCCTTGGGCAGTTGAACAGAGTGAACAGAGAGGAGCCCGGTCCCGAGTGTAGTGGGAAAGCCTTTTGTTGTTGGCCTTGAATTCAGGGTCACTTTGAGATTGGAGAGCCGACCCAGCAACCGAGGCGTCCTCCAGGTAGTAGTAGATGGTCACTTTCCGAACGCCTGGAAACAGGTCGCAAAACCTTGAAGTACTCTCGAACCCTCTGGCTTGTAAGTTGTCCCTTGAAGTTTTACGGGCAGGCCTGAGCAGAAGCTGCAAGAACCAAATGCCCACCCCCACCCTCCCCCACCCAACACTCCAGACCCAGCGCAAGCCTTCCCAAGCCTCAACCCACGACGTGTGCACATCGCGGCACGCTAGGGCTTAGGGCTTCGGGGTTTTGGGGCGTTTCGGGTCTGGTAGGGCCTAAGGGCTCCGAAAGATTCCCAGGTCAAGAGGCGGAAGTTCTCCAGGTTCGTCTCCACTACAGACTCCTTGAAGCAGCTTTGGGCTTAGAATTTTAGAACTTGGGGCTTAAGCGATCATCTGGCATTCGAAGTTCGGGTTGGTAGCAGAATTATGCGCTCAAAGTTGAAACCCACTAGCCATAGCAGGAGTCATCGGGGTACCATGCTTCTCTGACCAGCAGCTTCTAACATAAGGCAACGATCAACAAAAAAAAAAGTCCTTGAAGTAGCCGCTGAAGCGAAGGACGTGGCGGTCGAAGGCGTCCCAAGCCGGTAGGTCCTGCAACTGTTTTCGCTGGCTTCTATGAATTAAGGATTCTGTCCTTGACTCTCAACTCCACTCCCACGTTTAGCCTTTCATGACAGCGTTTACTTGTTTTCTGCGAAGATAACAACAAGAAGTACACAAGAGAAGTGCATTGGCCTGATTTTGGGGTGTCAGGTTTCACAATTGAACACCCCGACATCCACCCTAGAGTCCGCAAGCTGCAGCTTCATCCACACAATGAGCTTCGCAAGTCCTGGAACTGAATGCCTGCGTTGGCCTCGCCATTTGGGTTACGGTTGAGCAAGGGCTCTGGTGAAGCTGGGATCCAGCAGTGATCAAGCGGGCTCGAGCTGCAGGATGGGAGGCTGAAGGAAATAGGCCGCGTGCAGACAAGCGGACAGGGGCGGGGGGGAGGGGGAAGGGGGGAGGGGGGAGCGCGCAAGAGCACGAGCGAAAGGAGGAGGGTGGGAGAGAAAGAGAGGTTGCAAGACAGAAGGGCGAGAGAGAGAGGAGGAGAGTAGGATTTAGCTTCTGTTTGAGATTTGGGTTGAAGTTGAGAAATACTGGCAGGATGTAAGAAGAAGCAGCAAACAACGCGATGCGGATTCGAGTGCATGGAAGCCTTGGATTTCGCACTCTTGGCTGCTGCCTTCAGGAAAGATGCAGGGCGGGGTTTTTTGCTCGCCCCCGCGGCCGGTTTCAGTGTAGGGGCCTACGCGCCTTAATCTTCTTCTAGGGACGATCCGAAGTCCCAAAAGCAACCCCCACTAGATCCGAAACGCTCGGGCAGTACCAAGCGTGCGCCCTGAAACCCAGCCCCTGGGCAAGGCCCGTGGCGAGACTAAGACTGCAAAACCCGACACATCCGCGTAGATCCTTCTGCTTCCGGTCCGAGGTGCGTTTTTGAAGACAGCACGCGTCTGGCTATCTGGTAGGGAGCCAGACCGCCAGACATCCGGAGGCTTGCTCACCTGGTCAGCTCTCCAAGCTGGTACCCGTTTTTGCTTTTGGGGGCTCCTGTAACGAAGCGACACTTTAGGATCTGGGGTTTTTGGCTCAGGGTTTGGGGCTTGGGGGGGGGGGGGGGGGGGGGGGTGCTTTTCAGCTACTGGCCGACCAGCGGGATCTCCATCTAAGCATGCCACAGACACCGGAGCGCTTAGCAAAGTCTGAAGCCCCCGAAAAAAGCTTCGAGAGAAATGCCAAATCCAGAAATGCCCACAACACCCAAACACTACGTAATTCCCAAACTCCCGAAAGATAACATAACACAAGCGGCCTTGACAAATTTCGGCTTGTCGAAGGACAGACCCTCCTTCTGCTCAATGCGCACGCCGTTCACCACATTCCTCGGATTCTGCTTGGCGGTGGTGTGCGTCTAGGGCTTGTGGTACATGTTGGGGCTGAATAGGGCTCAAGGCAGGTGCCGAAGCCAATCTTGAGGCTTGAGGGCTTTGCGAGTGTTGTGGATGTACACGCATGGCCCCCTCCCAGAACAACAGCAGACACGCCTTCATACCAGAAGTAGCTCAGCAGCCCCTTCATGAAAATCACCCTGTGCGATGACATCACAGTGCTGAATCATGCGGTGGCACCCTATGCAGTCCCAACTCTCCGGAATCCGATCCAAGCCCAAAGAACGTTCGGGATCTGGGGATTTGGGTTGCAGAAGCACCAGGGGTGTAAGGGCGGTAGCCATGGCTTCAATGCATAGATGTTACGAACAAAAGGCAAACTCCATCGAGCACAGGGACCATAGATCTGTTCTTGGCTTTGGCTCTGTTTTCCTCGTTCTCAAAAATTGGCCCCGAATCGCCCACATGACATAGGGCAGAGCATTTATGAGCCCCGGTGCTCTGAAATCCCCGAAGCCTGGAAGCCCCTGAAAACCTCCAAACAAGCCGAAGAGTGTCCATGTGTTGGGCCTGGCATAGTTGTCCTTGTACCTGGGCTTGCGGTGCGGTTTGGGCTCAAGGCTCTCAGGAACCCCATAAACTTCCATAAACCTCCCGTAAACCCCCCATCAAACCCTAAAGGACGTCCTTTGGAAGCGCTCAGCTCGAGAGGCTCCTTCTGCTCTCCGGATTGAGTTGTGATGGCTTTAAGACTCGGGTAGCAAGGTTCTCCGACAACCCTCCCCGTCTTTTCAGCCAATTGCTGCGTCCGAGGCGCTCCGGGAAAGTGTAGCCCGGAAGGTTTGGCAGGGATTTCAAATCTGCTGGTGACACTGCCTAGGATCGCAGCGAGCTGGCTATGCTTACTTCCAGCACTCTCCACTTCAGAGGGAAACACCGGTCAAAGAGCTCATCGGATAGTCGTTTGTGTTTCTGTTGAGGAGGGGGCACGTGTGTGTGGCTCTGTAACGTTGTAGGGCACCCCCCCTTACCCGCCTTACCCTGGCATGAGAGCTCAAGGCAAGCTGCCGATGACATGGCAGGGACCTGAAAAGCAAGGCCCTGCCCTCACGAGGAAAAATCCACAGCTGCGAGCCAGAGATCGGCGGAATGAGCCCATGACACTCCAGGAAAAAAACTAGAACCTGCAATGGAATCATGTGGAGTAAAAAAAGAGAGCAAGGGTCACACAAGTCCAGTTGCTGTGCGTGGCAGTTGCATGGCAGATTGCGCGAAGCACGGACCGGGTCCCTGGCCAGGTACATCTCGTCCTCGTGCTCTTTCTCAGCGTCCTCTGCGTTCTCAGCCTCTCCTGGCTCCACCTCCAGCTCCTCCAACTCCTCGCTCGCCTCGTCCTCCTTTCCCTCTGGCAGCCTGAGAGCGCTGGGCATCACGGTTTTCTTAGGTTTTCCTTCTTGCTTGTCTCAGGGGCTTCCGTTGCACCGCACCGAGAATCGAGGCGCCCGCTCCAATGCCTTGAGCTCTGGTGCCTGCTCCGCTTGACAGATCACTGCAAAGAGCTGGCAAACATGCCCCGAACCACCCGAAAACCCTAAAAGATCAAAACTCCAAAACCCCAGATCCTGAACCCTACAATGCCCAAGAAGCCCCTTAGGTTCCAAGCTCTCCAAGAAAAAAGACCTGACATGTTAAAGCATGAAAGTTTTTTATTAAAAAAAAAAGTTGAGAGAAAAGCCAATAGCACTGCCCATGTTCAGAGCCCCCCGTTGGATGGCCTTTGGCACCTCAAAGGCTGCGGGCCTCTCGGAAGCCAAACGTGGCTCCTCGAGGCCCAGGCCTGGGAGCTTTGGGGGGTCACGCTTCTCAGGGGTTCAAAGAGTTAGGATGTTCAGGGTTTCGGGTTTCGGGTTTCGGGCTTAGGGCTTAGGGTTTAGGGTCCTCGCACAGATCTGCCACCGGGCCCTGAGCGGGCTTCCAGCTCCGCGAGGGCGGCGGGCACGTGCGGGGAGGTTGCAGCTCCTGGTAGGCTGCAAGGGTGTGGAGGCCTTTGGAGTATAGGACTTTGGGGCGTTTAGGGTTCAGGGCACTTCTGTGTTTAGGCGGAGGGTTCACAGGACATCCATGGTTGCCAGGCAATCTGAATCCTCGTTTAGGGCTTAGCTTTGTTGGGATTCGCCTCGGCTTCCTGCCGAGAAGCGTTTGGAACCAGAAGACCCGGATCCGGTTACCCCATCATGGGACCCCTTTGGGATCCTGGACCCTCCTGGGACCCGGACCCCCCCCTCCCCTTTTTTATGAGCCCTCTTTGCTCCTCCTGTGGGCCGGCCCGGCTGCCGAGCGAGGCGGCGCACGCAAGCGTTTACAATTACGAACGCAGGTCGGCGCCTCGCGAAGCTGCCCGTCGCCCCTTGGACGTGGCCACCTGGACTTCTTCCAGGTTCCGGGATACCTGAAGCAATGGCCGCGACATCTTTTGCGGGACCGGGCTCGGCGTGCGGCTTTTCGAGTTGGCGCAGTGTTGCGGGGCTTGGGGGTTTTTTGGGGGCCTAGACAGGTTTGGGGCTCAGGGCTTGGCCGTGGGGTTGCAGGCCAGCATGCTGCTTTGGCGGCCACAATACATGCTTCCAACATCAGGACTCCGTGCACCTCCGAGATGCCACAGCCAAAGAGGCAAAACCGCAAGCAAGGCCTCCTGTAGCTCCTTGTTCAGCCAGCTCGGGGTCGCCAGCGCCTTGGACTGCTTCAGAAAGCTTGGGCTCGGGTTCCTGCTGATTTCAAAAAGCACTATTTCCAGATCTGTGCTTACGAAGGTCAGGAGGAGGCCAGCAAGTGGCTCACCAAGGCAAAAGCAGAGGCAGAGAGCACAACACCAAGAATGGCGGCCTCCTGGATTCTTGAGTATAAACCAGCAGCTTGCCTCGAGGGGAATGCAACCACGAGTGCAGTCGTAGTAGGGTTTAGGGTTCAGGGTTTGGGTTAGGGCTTAGGGTTTAGGGTTAGGGTTTAGGGAAACTGGCAACTTGTGCCTTCAGGGGAATGCAGCCACATATGCAGCCGTAGCAAAGCTGGGTGTCCCAATCCGCAGCTTCCTGAAACAACAGCTGCGCAACCAGTCCGACATCTGCACCTTCTCTGCCACCTCGGGGGCTTCCGTCCTGGCAACCTTGGCGATGGATGCCCTGGCGCCGAAGGCAGAGGTCGTGCTCTTAGCTGTTGGCGGGGGCCGCCCTCAGGCTTCTGGAAGTGCCAGGCATCACTTTTCGTGACTTGCCCAGCACATGTGAAGCAGCAAAAGCTCACACTGGCTCGGCCTTCGTCTCAAAGCCCAGGGCCTTTCGGAGGTCCTTGTCAGGCAAAGCGGCGATCTTGCCATCCGCAATGTAGCAGAAGTGGCTGATGTTCACACTCTCGTAGCCACACCGATCGCACTTTTTGACTTCACCTACTCCCCTGGCACGGCCACCAACAAAGGTGTCACTGCGGCTTCCCGCCATGCTCCCACAAGGGGACGGCTTCAAAAGCCAACAAAAACACAAATGAGGAGCTTGAGCGAATAATTTGACCTAACCGCAATAATTTCCACCAAGCGGGGCCACTAGGAGTGACTCCTGGCAGCAACCCCGCTTGGGGAAAAGTACTATACCAATGAAAAACAACAAGCAAAAGATGTTTTCGCAGCCCCACCGGTACCCGCCAGGGCCTAAAGGGCGGCCTGGGCTCCACCTCGTCCTTGAGTTTTTTCAAACGCTTCTCTTGCCTCTTCCCCAGCAGAGCTGGTGAAACAAATCCCTCGACGGACAACAATGGCCTCAGCAGCAATTCGACTTCAAGCCCCCAAAGCCACCGTCCTAGACCCTCTGATCCAAGAGGCAATTCTGCCAAGTCTTCGTGGAGAGCGCTGACCGAGTTCTGGAGTCCTCGGCCCGCCGTTTCGAGAGCAGGGCTCTCACGGGATTTTGGGGCTTCGGGTCCTTCTCACCACAGTCAAGTCTCGGACAACAGCTTGCCTTCAGGAGCAAGCATCTCAGCCTCTTCCGAAACGTCCATGGCTCCAATCCAAGCTGCATCGCTGTGGTATCTGAGAAGGTGGAAACAGCAGGTGAGCTTTTGATCGTCCTTCCGATTCTCCCGAGGTGTCTGAGGTTTCTCAAGCACTGCAGCTCGTGCCGGCGACGCCTCTTGGACAGCCGGCTTCTGTCTTTGCCAATGGCCCTTTGGGCAGCTGGCTTTTTCTCAAGTGATCTTCAAACGAGAAACAATGGCTCCTGTAGGCCACTGCCCAGCCCCACGAGACAAGAGTAACCCCTTGCCTGAAGAGCCTTCGGAGTAGAAGCTCCTTCTGCAATGCAGCTCACAAGTCCGACGGGAGCCTGTAAAAACCGCATCGCTGTTTCTTCTTCCCCGGCACGAAGGTGGAGCACCCAGCATATTCCTTGCCCTTCTTGTCCTTCTGCACGATGGTGCCATTTTCCTCCGTCGCATCGGGGCACTTCTCCTTGCACGAAGGGCATGGATCGCCTTCTGGGTACTGGCCTCTGGAACCATCTGGGCTGGATTCCAAGGCCTTCATGTAGGCCGAGTACTTCAACGCCTTGCTCTCGTGCACGGCCACTTGTTTCTCGACTGAAACCTTCCGCTTCTCAATTGCATCCATGATGTCCCGGTCGGCTGCTTTTCGCCCCTCAGCCTCTGCTTTTGCCTTGGTGAGCCACTCGCTGGCCTCCTCCTGACCTTCGTGAGCACAGATCTGGAAATAATGCTTCTTGAAATCAGCAGGAAGCTCGTAGCAAAGTCCCCCAAAAAAATGAAGATTTAGATGGTACATATTGCATGTTGCTCTGCTCATTCCTTGGGCGCGGGCGGCGCGCAGAGTGGCACTGAAGCGGTCCTCAGTGTGGGACGGAAGCGGTCCACAGGCCGGGGAAACGCTTGCCCCCAGAACTCTTGAAAAGCCCCAGCCACTCCCAAACCCAAAAGCCAACCCTCACCCCCCTCCCCTTAGCCCTGTGAATCCTTAAACGAAAAGTGACTCTCAAAAAGCGCGTGGGCTCCCCGGCATCGCCAACATCGGACTCGCTGGCAACACCTGCATCTGAGGTTCAAGATTTCGACAGTTGCGGGTTTAGGCACTCGGACTCATTGAGCACTTTTGCAACCTCCCCTTCCCCGCCCTAAACCGACAAACCCCTGCAACCCGAAAAAGACATCCCGAAACCCTAACTCTAAACCTCCTAAACCCCACGTGCAAAGCACCCCCAGAAAAAGTCCACGGGACCGGGGCCCCCCACGCCAGCGGTCCAGCACCTTGGGTTTCTGGCATGGGTTGAGGGTTCCTGGGATTCAGAAGTGATTCAGATATTGCGGGATCAGGGCTTCGGGATTTGGGGCTAGACGGGGTCGGTGCGAGGGTTAAGGTAGGCCAAGGTTCAGGACTTTGGGCGTAGCTCAGGGCTTCGAGGTTGGGGTTCAGCCCCAAAAGCGGAAAGGTGCCTGCATCACCAGCTCGAAGAGCGAGGCCTCTTTCACCTGGGATCAATATGGTTTAATGTGGTTTCATATGGTTTCATATTATGGTGGTTTAATATGGTGTAATATGGTGTACTCTGGTGCCCCGAGTCCTTCTGAATGCAGAATACCTGAAGCACCCTGAAGCCATTTCACGCCATCACGACATCCATGCATCAATGATAACGACAACCTTCTCGAAGACCACCTCCACTGAAAAACCCTTCGCCACGCTTTCGGGAACAGACATGCCAAAAAAAGAGGGAAGAAAAGAGGGGAAAAATCGAATTTCTTCAGGGAGGGCGCCTTCTTCAGCTTAGCCTTCTCTGCCTCGCCAGGCGCCAGCGGTGGGGGCTCCGCAGCCCTCGCACTACGCGGCTCCTGCCGTGGTCAGGCTCCAGGGCTTTAAGAGCTTTGGGCTTAGGGCTTTGGGCTTGGGGGGCCAACAGCGCTGTTCGGGAGGATAGAAGCGTTGCCGTTTCGGGGGCTTAGGGTACCAAGTGCAGATCCTCCAAAAGCCTGTCGCTAAACATCCACGCCCTGCGCACAGCGGCCAAGACCAGCCCGCCGTGCAGTACCCTCCCAGTGTTCAAGAGGCAAGTCCTTAAGCTGCTTGGAGTCCCTCTCTCGCCCGGACTCCTGAGTAAGCTGGGCAAAGAAAGGACTGAAATCAGTGTGATTGCAGAGAAGGCACGCAAACTTCGACAAACAGCGCAGCCCTGCAATGTCCGTCCTGGACCTTTCGGTCCCGGCGTTTGCTGCGCGAGCGTCCTGGAGTCAAGCCACTACGTCACTATGCCTTCTCCCCGCACGAGATTCGGTCTGGCTTCCGCTCCACGCGAGATTGGCTCGATATCCCGAAGTCAGAGGTCGATCACAGTGCCACGCTAGACTATGAGCCGGTTTCTCCATGTTTCTCCTTCACAGAGTAGCTCGCAGGGGTCAGGTTAGATGCGGCATGCGAAGATCGTTTCTATTCTGCATGGCATTATGGAAGGCTGCGGCCTCAGAGATTACTCCCGGTACCCTTCACTTCAGCGCTGGAGTTTCACAAGTGAAGCCAGCAACTCCTATAGGCTCTAGGGCCTCTAGGGCTTGAGATCCAAGGCGCAGCCAAACAATACCCTGAACCTCACAGGCGAAGCATGCGAAACAACAACCGACGAGCAGCGGCCCAAAACACGCCCGAAACACTCCCTGCTTGCCCCCCAACACGCCCCTGCCTAATCCGCAAACCTGCCCAGGACAAATCCATTAGCTAGCACTGGACGAGCAGCGGCGGCTGCGCTGCCGCTTCTTGCCCCGTGGGGACCTCACTGCTCTCACTAACCCTCAGACGAGTCCTCCCTTCCTCCCTTCCTCCCTTCCTCCCTTCCTCCCTTCCTCCCTTCCTCCCTTCCTCCCTTCCTCCCTTCCTCCCTTCCTCCCTTCCTCCCTTCCTCCCTTCCTCCCTTCCTCCCTTCCTCCCTTCCTCCCTTCCTCCCTTCCTCCCTTCCTCCCTTCCTCCCTTCCTCCCTTCCTCCCTTCCTCCCTTCCTCCCTTCCTCCCTTCCTCCCTTCCTCCCTTCCTCCCTTCCTCCCTTCCTCCCTTCCTCCCTTCCTCCCAAGACTGCAACTTCAACCGCTTGCTGCACCTGCCCCAAAACCAGAACCCCGAAAGCTCCCCGCGCGCGCCCCCGATGCCTTCGACCCTCAGCCTGCTAGCCTGATGGCCTAAACCCGTCATCCACAAGCTCCTGAGCCCTCTCAAGCAAGCCCCAAACAACCAAAAAACGAAACCCGACGTGAGCTCGCGCCCCGCAAACACTCCAAACCCCCTCAGTGCGACCAGGACACTTCGCCCGGTTGCTCTTGCGTCGGCTGCGGCTACGGCTACGCGCCTCCCCAGGTTGTGGGGGAGGCTTATGGGGAGCCTGGGGCCTTCTGCTTTGCTTTCTAAGGCCTTCAAAGTCCGGCAACTTGGGGGGCTCAGGGTCTCAGAGCAGAGGGAGCCTCTGTTTGTTCATTGCTACGGCCTGCGACCCTTTTTTGGGGCTCATCTGAGTCCAGGCTCTGAGGAACAGGGCTTGATGGGATTCAACCTGCAGGCCCCGAAACCACAGAGCCCCCGAGCACTTGAGGGTTCACAGGCTTTGGGAATTTCGGGTTTCGGGTTGAGGCCAGCCAGCAGTTTGGGCCGGGCACCACAAGGAGTGCTCGCCTTCATTGTTTCTTAGGCTGGATTTCGGCTGAGCTGAAGGATTTGTAAAGGATTTGTGGTCCATGGCTGTCCTTGCCCACAGCCCGCCTTTCTCTGGCTGCCGGACTCAGGCTCGCGTCCTGGGGAGGGTTGAGGGCTGAGTGTGTATATACATATAGATATATATATATATATATATATATATATATATATGTGTGTGTGTGTGTGTGTGCATGTATGCAGATAGATATATATATATATATACATATGTATATCTGTGTGTATGTATTTCTAGATATATACATATATAATGCAAAACATTGCTGGGTTCCAGACTTCCCGATGTCGGTTGCTGACGTTGCTGCTGCTGTTCCTGCTGTCGCAGCCTGAGATGAGAAAGAAAGCTGCGCAGGGATCCTGTACGCGCGCACACACACACATACACACAAAACAGCGCAGGCGTCTAGGACATCTGTTAACATTATGCGCACGCACCTACTTAGAAGCATCCGGCTTTCCGCACACGATGGTTCAGGGAATTCTTCAGGATGCAGGATCCACCAGTGATCCAGCAGATGCTCTCGTACTGAGACATAGATGAGGGCCGAGCCGGAGAGTGTTGAGCTGGCATACGATGGCCTCGCGCCTGTCTGACAAAGGGCTGCCACTATGCTTTCAAGCTTAGGAGTTGTCGAACTGGCTCGGGCGCCAATAGCATTCGCCGCCCTGCCGCATTTTGACATGCCCCACACTCCTTTCCTGTCATATCCTCCTCTCTCCTCTTTCTCTCCTCTCCTCTCCTGTGCTTTCCTTTCCCGCTTTTGTCTCCTCATGTGCCCGCGACACTTCAAACATTGTCATTCGCTATGCGCCATGCATGCAGCAATGCGAACGAAAGCAAAACCCAGTGCAGAACGATATTCCCTCAACTTGATTGGGGAACCCTCCGGGAAACCTATCAAAACATTGCTTCAATCAGATGAACATTCTCAGCAAAGGACGATTTGACCTTGAAGTTTGGTTGGAAACACATCGGTTCTTCTATGGAGCACATCTTTCAAAAGAGCTTAACCGACAGACGTACAGCTTCAGCTTTAAAAAGAAGTCCATCAAGAATCCTCCTGGAACGCGTGTTCAACCGATCTGTAAAGAAAGCGAAGACTATCTGCAGTGCTAGGAAGTTGACAGGAATCCGTGGATGCGTTCAAGGCGTTTGCCGTTGTCAGAGGGCGCGGGGCTCATCTGGGTGTGGTGCAGACAAGAAGAAGCGGCAGGCAGGATGAATTCAGCCTTCCGGCAAGAAGCACGCCTCGCGTAAAGAAGAAGCCCCAGATGCTGCGATGTTGCGTTGCATTTCCGGTGATGAAAATGAGCTTTGGCAGGTCAAACTTTGAAGTCTGAAGTTTCGAAATAGGAATGCTTCCAGCAATTGCGGATCCCGTTTCGAACAAGGTCATTGAGCGAAAACGAGGTTTGTTGCTCTTTTGCAGGACTTAGGCTGGAAAACCGCTTGTCTGGGGAGTTGTCAAAACAGGAAATCATCAGAGACCACGGAGCGCAGTTTCCCCAGTAACTCGTGTGGCTTTTCATGCGGAATGAAAGCTGAAGCGCCCAAAGATCTTTGTGCCGTAGAATGCGCGGTCATGTCGAACAACTCTCAACGCCAGCGCCCCTACTGTAGACCCTTGCAGAAGGAGAGGGCCTATTCGCCAGCTCTTGCCACGCAGCCACGGGAAGGAAAGCCTTCAGGCAGCTGCAATTAAGGGTACCTGACAAGCCACTAATGAGCGGGTCGTTTCGCACAAGACTCTGCGGGAGCTCTGAAGAGCAGGGCCGACGATTTGGGTCGACTGTAGTGGGCATAGCTCAGCATAAACCTTTCGATCTCTCTAGGCCTTCGCCTTCGCCTGCAGCTCAAGAGAACCAAACCTAGATGTAGGGGGTCCAGTGCCAAGCGGTATTCAAGCTGTAGGTGCAAAGGGGTTACCCTTAGCCGTTAACTCACCAGCGCAATCTCTGTTGCCTCTGCGCGCCCAGGAGCGTCCAGCAGGTCAACCTGCAGTTAGGGCACAGAATGCCACTTCCTAGGACAGCAAGTACCTTTGGTTTAGCTCAGGTCACGAGCTGCAACTAGCACACAACCCATGCCACATACTCAATTCACAACCACTGAGTGAGATTTAGTACAAACGGTCGCTGCTGGTTCCGAACATCATGTTGCCGGCTCTTTACATTGTGAATAGAGCCCTGCATTTTGTACTTCTGGTTGATGTAATTCATGCGACATATACTATACTGCCAGAAGAAGCAACTGGACGAGGACTTGCTTGTCCATGTGGAATAGGTTGAGATCTTTGCCTCCAAATCCGCATTGTGATTTGGCCGTCTTGCCGTTTTGATGGCGATTCGAGCCCAAAAAAACTGCCCGTCGCACGGCACAGTTGTTTTCGAAGGATTTTGTTTTGCTAGCCTTCTAGCAGAAAGGCATGCCACGTAAACGCGCGTCGCCGCCACACCATCTTATGCTCAGAACATAGCCAACAGGTCGCATGTAGCGTGAGCGCCAAGTACCTGAAAGCCACGTTCGAGCATGCACCGATCACAGCAGATACTTGTCTATAAAATCCAGAACCCCAAATAAGCGAAGGAGCGCAGGTTTGCGGATGGCGGACAGCCCCCGCTAGCTCCTAGATCTCCTAGCCCCCTGCACCCGGAACCCAAATGCGGAAACATGGTCTTGCAACTGAATTTTGCTATAATCGCCAGACAAACCCCAGCAAGCTGTTTATATTTAAACCTTAAGATTCCTAAGAGGACGCACTACATAACTTGGGCTGGCCACCGTGAAGTCGGACTTCAGCTGGCTCACGAGGCAGTCCATCGCCTCGTCCACCGTGGCCTTTCCCGGTCAAGAGCAGCAGCTTGCGCTGCTTAGTAGGGCCTATGTGCAGGGTTCCGAGATTGGGGGTCTTGGGGTTCGGGGTCAGAGGTTCTAAGAGTCAAGTGCATTTAGGGGTTGCGGAGCAGGGCCATGTCTATGTGCCAACTTCTTTTTGGCGAATCCAAAAAAACTAGTGCACACGTTTGCAGACAGGAGAGGGAGAGAGGGCATCTAATCTTCAGCCCCCGAGCCCGTCTTCAAGTCTAAGAACAGGTTTCGTTAAAAAAAGTTGTTTAAAACCGCCCTGAAAACATGCAGCGCAGGGGCGGTTGCGCTTTAGGGGCTGAATCCCCTGCCTGTTGCTTCAGCTCCAGGCCATGTGCTTTGGCAACGGCCTGGGTCTCAAGCATAAGGGTGCTGGGAGCGTCGGGGGTTTGGGCGGTTCCGGCCTTGTCAGCAGCTCTACACTAGCTTGGCTCCTGCAGCAGAACTGCTCAGGTTGAAGATGAGGGGCGGGGCTGCCAACTGGCAGGCACATGAGATCGCAGAAAAGAGGTAGCGGTCAGAAATCAAGTTCCTTCTGCTAGGGGGGCTGTCAGATCAAGTTCGCGTGACGGTGAAGCTCCCCAGTAAAAGCAGCTTAAGCTGGCAATTCCCGGTACCCCGACCGAGCCCGAGCTCTTGAACTTCTTGAACATCAGAACCCTTCGCACCAAAAACCCTTACATAAGGCGAAGTCCTTTGCGCTAAATTGCTGCCAGGCGGCCTGGTGAAGGTCCCACGCAAGGGTAAACACTGGCGAGTCGTACAGGACGCGCGCGCCCTCGTGCGGGCGGTCTTGTCTTTTGTACCGTGAATAAAACGCCACGATGTCCTGAACCCGAAGCCCCAAGTGCCCCGGCAGAACCCGATCACTCTTGGTCGCCGACATCCTTCTGCGCCCAAGCAGCCTGCTTTGGGGGGGGGGGGGGGGCATTGAGGCCTTTCTCAAAATTCACGATACGACTCAAGATCTTCAAGGCTCGGGCGGGGTACAGCGAGCTCTGAGGTGGGAACTGTTCGTTTTTGCCCATGTTGGCTCCGGGCTGCAACAAGCCCCGTCAAACATCCACCACAGCTTGGATCCTGCAATCCCCCTAAACCCCTCACTCTCTCTGCTCCAGAAACGCTCCAAACACAAATCCTGCCCAAAGCCTGGCCCTAAACCGGAGACCCGAAACCATCCATTCTAAACCCTGCCCCCAAACAAGACTTCCAAGAAGAGAAATAGATGACATGGCCTGATTAATTCTAATGGAAATGACCCCGCAGGAATCATTAGCCCCCATAAACCCTCAACTCTGAAGGAACCCCAAAGACTCCAAGCCCGGAAAAGCAGCCACTTTGCCTCAAGCTCCCAGCGGAGCCCCTTCCAGGGCAGAACAGGCAGGGAATGTGTCGGTTTAGAGTTTGGGGTTGTGGTGGCTGGCTGAAAGCACTTACGATCTCGGGTTTGGAAACCTTGCTGTGAGCCTAGCTTATCTCTCTCTACCTCCTCGCGCTGCTGAGAGGAGCAGCCTAGCTACGCCCAAGACCAAAAAACAGCAGCCCTCTGCGCACACAATACACTCCATCTTGGGGGCACGTCCACACTCTTGCAAAGTCGGGTTGCGAATCTCAATCACAGGATCGAGGGGGGCAAGCTTTGTTGGCACGTCGGCTTGCGTGTGCGTCGGTGCGGAAGCTGCCGCTGCAAGGCAGCTTCAGCTTGAAACGAGCTGTTGGAACGGTGGGTGTTCAAATAAGACCCTGGCTTTGTCCAAGCTGGAAGATGCACCATTCGTTCGAGGGGCAGAGTGGAATTGTCATAGTGGAACTGTCCTAGAAGGTTCCTTGGCGCATCGCCCTTTATCTTGCAGCAGGTATCAAAGCCTTCTGCCCGGAAAGAGCACTGCCGACCCGGAAGCAAAGGACTGTGCAGAGAGGGCCGGCGGAACAAGCTGAATCAGGCATGGAGCTTCGCAAGCTCCGCATTCTAAGTCTTTCAGACCACTGAGGGACCTTAGGCGAAGACGCCTACGTAGAAGAGAGCCATGCCGAAGAGGGTGCCGGCAAGGACGTGGTAGTCCAAGCTGAAGTCAAGGATGCTGTGGTTCTCCCAGGAGTCTGTCAGGGTGGTCCCCTCCCATCCCCTCCCCTAAAACTCCCTTCCTACACCCCAACCCTCCTCAACCGCCCCGAAACCCCCGAAACCCCCGAAGGCCTGTCTTGACATCCGCCCCGAGGGAAGGCATCAGCCAGTCGGGCAGCTCCATCTCGAAGAAGGAGAAGGGCTTTCCAGGCTCCTCGTTGAAGGGCTCATGCGTCTCTGCCTGCTGCCTGTACCGGAGACAGGGCTTCAGGGGAGTCAGGGGGAGTCAGGAGTCCGGGGAGTTGATTGCTTACTCCCTGATTACAAATCTCCCAGAGGCAAGGGCAACGCCACAGCTGACTAAAAGAAGGCATCATGCCACGAGAGTGTCCAAACACCACGTTTTTGCCTGGGCAGGCGTGGCACCGAGAAGTTCATGGTCGCCCTCAGTGCGGCGAGGAGCAGGACCAGGCTCAAGATCGCGCGGCATCGCTTGGCCATGCTGCCACTGTGCTCAGACTTGTGGTGCCGATCCAGAATACCACGGGGTGTTGATCTAAACTTGAGCCGATTGCGACCGCCAGCGGGTGAGTGTAGGCGTTCTGGCGGAGATAGCAGTTTTTGCTCACTGTCGGGACGAGCCCCAAGCTCGGAATCTTTCCCTGGTACGCAGAATCTTCAGATCGCCCTTCTCCCTGTCAGGCCTGTCGCAATTCGCGGATCTTCTCCCAAACGTGTCGATGGAGACAGCCTCGGGGCAAGGGGCGTGCAAAAATTGAAAGGGCTTGGCCCCACCATTCCAGGCGATCCGAGCGATCCCCATCCCAGCCTTCGGGCAGCTGCACAGATCGATGAAGCACCTCGAGTCTCTCACGCGTGCTTCATTCATTTTTTCCGGAACTTTGGGCTTTAATGCCTTAGACGGCTTTTGGGTGGCACTGGGTGTGATTGACGCTCTTCTCTCTCTTGCAGGGTGGCTTCAGGCACTTGCAGCTGGAAGCTTCCCATGAGCCAAGAACGCTCAAACCAAAGTCAACCTCGAACCTCGTAAAAACAAAAAACGCTGGTATTGGGTTAAGTTACTGCCACAAACCTACACTGGTCACTGGTCCTGCAGCCGGTCTGAGCTGGTGACTGCCAAAGTGCCACTGAGGGTGAAACCGAACCTGTCGCGGGCACGCTACAAATCCCAAAGCAAGGCCGGAAAGCTCGTCAGCCGAAGCCGGGCCAGGGACGAAAAGCCCTTGGACCCTGGAGGCCAATGTAGACGTGCTGGTTCTTTTTCCGCTTTACTTGTTAAGCGCCGTTGGCCAGCCTGTATTTTCTTCAAGATGGCCTTCCGGCTCGACTTGTTGACAAATATTCACAAAGACCCTTGAAGCAACCGATTGTGCATACAGATAACCGCTGACGACCTCAAGCTGCAATGCCCATGTTTTCCCAAGCCCAGGAGACTCCCAGATGGGCACGCATGAGCATTCGACTGTGCCGAAGCCGAAACCCTGAAAAGAGACACAACCTCCAGCCTCCCCAATCATCAACACCGCTGGTCGAGATCTCAGAGCCCTGAAACCCCATGAAGCTTTGAAACTCTTAAATCCGAAACCTGGACCATCCTGGACCCCAAACTTGCAAAATCCATGACCCTAGGCTCCCAACTCAGCCCCGAAAACACCGAACGCCTTCGACAAGCCATGCTACCTTGCCTGCGGAGGCCGAACTTGCTGCAGTCCATCTTGGCGGTGGCCAAGACGAAGCACCTTTGTAATGGGGGGGGGGGGGATCTGAAGGAACCGCACACACTCTCTTTCACCGCTTCACATATCTAGCATCATCTGGCACTCAGCTAGCAGTCGTTCCAGCTTGGCTAACCCAAAAGCTGTCCAGGCACAGGTGGGCGGCCGAAAGGCAAGTCACCTTTGGACTGGCAGGGCTGAGGACCTGGGGCCTTTTACTATGTGGGCCCGTGCAACGAGGGGGGATCATGACAAGAACTGGCTCTCCCCCCGGCTCTTTGTGCTGTGTGATCATGTCGGGTCGGTTCCCTGCAGGGCTGCACTCGGCAAGACACGCCCCTAATTCAAAGCTGCCCCTGTAGGGCTTTGAGTTTCTGAGTCGACGGGCTGAGGTCGCGGCCCCTTCCGGGTACGACCTCGTCGGCCCCTGCCCTCCTCGGACCTCGAAGAGACAGCCAGAGGTTTGTTCAGAGAGCTTTTGGTGCGGCGTTTGGGCCTTTCACAGGGGGGTTGATGACATAAGCAGCATCAGCAACTGGCTGCTCAGAAGAGGAGGAGGAGCTGCTTCGTCGGAGATCTAAGCATGCGAAAGCTTCCTCCCAAACGCCCTCGGTGAGGGCACCAAACCCTAGACCCTAAGCCTGGAGGTGCGATGTTGTCAGCTAGGCGGGCTGAGTTGCTTCTTCCTCCTTACCTTGCTTCGCGTCACTAGTACCATGATGCGCATGTGGATTCATGACCGATTGCCGCAGGTGCTTCCAGAGGTGGTTCGTGGTTCGTGCGACCCCAAAGGTCTGCACGGTATTGGCAGTTGTATTGGCCCAACCCGCAAGGCAGTTCCCGGTCCGAATCGCCCGCCAAATCGGAAGGACTAAGTACCCAAGCTAGGATTGCACGTCTCTGTGCTCAAGAAGAGCATGAATCAAAGCCCCTGACACTACCAGGACAGGGCGTTGGGTTTAGGTCTGGGAATGAAACCAAGCCAGCTTAATCAGATTCATTCGAGGCCCCAGCATTGGCGGCAACGGCAAAGCATGCCACTTGAGTCACTGTGCCCTGGGACATTGAAACCTTTACTTCTACGGAGCGAAACCGTGTCTTGTGTAGGCTTAGGAGCTGGTTTAATCCACTCTTTTGTTGACACAATGGCTTCGGAGCTTGGGTTACGTCGGGACCTAGGGGTTCAGGATTCAGGGCTTGCCAATCTAGACTGAAGCGTCTTGTTCCAAGAGTGTCTCGTGCTATGCGATTGGCTGATCAGACCAGGTTTAGACGGCTTTCCTTTCCATTTTCATCGCTTCCCCCACACTGTCGAAGACCTACGTTCCTTTTCGAGGATGAAAACTAAACACAATTTTAATTGCATGGTTTTTTATGACCTCTTTGCGCCCTTGTCGTACCCTTGTCCGGTCCTGGGCGAGGGGCTGCACGTAACCAATGAGCCTGTGCCAAGGTTGAGGGGTGAGTGTGCTCGAAACCTTTTGGGGAGGCATACCGGTATATCCGACACATACAACTCGAGGCAAGGGTGTGGGAATGCTCCCTGGATCTGAGATTTATGCATCCAGAATTTAAGCACAATCTCTGCGGTACCCCCTACCTCCTGGCGATCCCGATCCTGTCTCTGAATATGAGACCGGGTGTCGGCGGCGGTCTTCGCAGCCGTCGTCCTGTTGCCGACGGCTGGGCCAAGCCTGACGTGCGCCCTGTACAAAGAGAGGCTCTCCAATTGATCACTGGCCGACCTGCCTGGGAGAAGGGAGACGCCTTGCATGCCTCACAACGCGCTGTTGCGTGACAAAGCCCCTGCGTCTGCGCCACAGTGGCTAGCCGCTGTTGAGAGCATTCCCGCTGCCTCCGCGGCAATCCTTCTCACCAGCACTTTTGCTGACGGCCTGTCATGGATGAGCCCGACCGCTTCCCCAACAATGACGCCCGTGTTCTGCGGGTCCGCCTCTGCAGCTCCTTGTGCATACTGCTCTGCCAGCTCCTGCCTCTGCTGAGGATTTGCCTTTGTCTCGGCCTCCAGCGGCAACCAATGCTTGATGATCTGCGTGCTGAGAGTACGGATGTTGAAGGGTGCCGGCCAAGCCTTCCCACGCGCAATGTCAGGGACGCTGCTGCGCACGGTGGCGTCACCGTCCGCCGCAATGGCCGCGTCTACTAATCCGCTCTTCACATGCGACTCCTCGCAGGCCCAGAAGCGGCTTCCCATCAAGACACCGTCGGCGCCCAACATCAGTGACGCAGCGAGGCCCCGCCCGTCCGCGATGCCACCGGCCGCCAGCAGCAAAGTGCTCGGGCTGTGGGCTTTAAGGTAGTCTGCGACCTCCGCAACGAAGCTCATGGTCCCGCGGACGGAGCCATGGCCGCCGGCTTCGGAGCCTTGGGCGACCACGACATCAGCGCCGGCCGCTACTGCCTCCGCCACGTGGCGGAGGGTCTGGCACTGGCAGAACAGGGCGGCCCCCGCTGCCTTGATCGCCCGGGCGTGCGGCGCGGGGTCGCCGAAGGACAGCATGACGGCCGTCGGCTTGTGGCGCAGCGCCTGCTCCAAAAGCTCCGGCTGCCTGTCGAGGCTCCACGTGATGAAGCCCACGCCGACCCGGGCGGGGGCCGCTGCAGCGAAGGCCAGGTCGAGGTCGTGCTCGTCGCCATAGCCTCCGCCGATGAGGCCCAGCCCGCCTGCTTCGCTCACCGCCTTGGCCAAGGCTGGGGGCGAGGCACGAGCCATGGGTGCACTGACGATGGGCACATCCAGTTGGAAAGCTTCAGAGAATCGCGTGACGATGCGGCGAGCCATGGCTAGGGCGAGGGCGCCGAAACACGACTTCCTTGGACTGCAATGACGAGACTTGAGCTCCAGACACCTACACGGTCAGCATGTTCACCAAACACACAGAGCACACACCAAAACACACATAAAAAGACGCGCACACACACAACACAGAGACACGCAATCACACCGAGACGCGGAGACATGGTGACACGGACACACCAGAGCACCAGAGACACCGGAGAAAAACGAAAGGACCCCCCAAGCAGAAGAATTCAGCGTTCGCGCCCGACGGCATTCTTCTTCTCGAAGAGACCTTCGCAACGGAGAGGCCTCGGCTGTGGTTGGAAGTTCAGGGCCCACTCTGCCCGAATTGTAAAAAATTCGCCAGGCTCGCAGCCACTCAGTTCAGCTTGAGCTTCGGGGTTGGGATGGGTTGGGGATGTCGAGGACGCTTCGTCAGGGCTGTAGCGGCTGTAGTATCAACCCGAAAGCTGTTGGAATTCTCGGGAGCCTACGTGTCGATCGCTCTTGCTCCCATGAGCAGCTGGATTCTACAACGACAGAACCTGATGACCTCTGACATTCTGACGACTTCCGCTCCTGCGAGGGCCCAGGTATATGCAGAGCAGGCGAGCAGTTGGGGCAGCCGGGGGTCTGCTGTCATTGACGCTACCACTTCGTCGTGCAGTCAACTGGAGCGAATGCACTTACGTGGACGTTCTCGCTCGGGTGCAGGCACGGAGGATTCTTCGAGACTTTGATTTAATTCCCTGAAGATTGGGAGCGAGAATCCACAAGTCCGGAACCTACACCTAAACAAAAAACCTAGACCCTGAACCCCTTTTCGAAACAGGAGCTGAACACTTGAAAACTTCACTTCATGTCTCACAAGGCCCCCTCAGGTTCGGGCTGACCTTTTGCTGTGTACAGCGGCTGCATCCACTCCCACTTTAGGACGTGCCTGAGGGAGGGGTCGGGACGTTTCGGATCTTCGGCTGGGGGAGGGGGGTTTCGAGCCCACTGGGCTTTGGCTCAGAGCGTAGTGCTAAAGTTCCACAAGCATGCTGCATGTTACACCGCGTGTGGGTGAACACCTTCAAGACCGTCCTGATTGGCACTCCATGCTTTGGATGCGATGCTTCCTCGAGGGTCGCACGGATGCAGTACGGCGACCTAGGTTCCGGGATGGCTTCTGTTGGATTCTCCTGTGTGAACGTCAACGGATCCCAGCTTTAAGGCATCGGCTGGCTTGTACGTCCAGCCGGATGTTATGCGCGCTCTTTGCAGCTCCTGGAGCAGTTGGCCCTGTGTTGGATACTGCGGTCTGCTTCAAGACGTGCCGCTGTCCTGCATGTGCTTCTCAAACTGGCTCAGCAGGTTAAACTCTGCCGGCAAGCGTGATTGGCTCACCTCAACAAAAAAACAAGCTCGCGAAGAGCTGCTGGAAATTGCTGGAGCTTGAGAAATCAACACCATCAACGCACCGCCGGGACCTTGGGACCTTGGGACCTCACCAGCAGAGGCGCTTCGGCGCGAGAGTCAAGGCCAGCCCACCTCTTCACAGCCAAGGACTGCGTGGACTGGGATGGCTCACGCAGTTTTATAGGGCCTAGGATCTTTATGAGCTGCTGCGGGTCTTGCCTGGCCTGCTTGCCTCCGACTTGAAGCCGTCCATGTGCACGAGGGTAGCCTGCGAACTTGGGCTGGGCCGCACAGAACTCAGGGTTTCCAGCTGCCGCACGTTTGCCGCAAGTTTCCCACCGGCGTCTTGAGCTCTAACAGACAGAATCTGGCATCCCGAGGACTGCACCTGCAACCATCGTCGCTAATACCCCGGGGCCGAGAAAGCCGAGAAAGCACTTGCCTCTTTGGGCTGCTCCAGGGAAATGGCCGCTTTTGGGCGTGTCCCGCACACGAACTCCACGTAGCCGTCGGGGTCCTGCAACCCGCCGGCTTTTTGGGGGGAGAGCTCCGAGGCTTCGAGGCGCAGGCGTTTTCAACTAGGGCCGTGACCTATGAATCACTGCTCGGGGATTGGCTTGAAAATGTTTGAAAGCAAGGGTTCAGGACGTCAGCTTTCGCACCCACGCGAGATGCACCAGCAACCCAAGGTCTTCGGAGAACTTGCGATCCGAGACTCCATGCACCCGAAACCCTGAGCCCTAAGCCCCTGAAGGATCATCCTCTGTGTGGCCATTGTTGATGATCAATGACCTCGGCAAGCTGACAAGGCATCCCTCCTTAAACTTTAGAGAGGATCGCAAGCTCCCTTTAAAGCTGGCACGCAGGGTTTTTGGGGTTTCTAACAACAGGAAAGAGCCGGAAGGACCTCAGGGTTTACATAGGGATTGCCCTTAGCAGCCTTAGCATTCGACCCGGTCTCATCTGAGCTGCGATCTCGGCTGCCCATGATTGCCCTACATCCCGCCTAGATCCTGAACATCAAGTGTTTGTCACAAGCCACTAACAACATTTACGGCCGTGCTTGCGGCTGCTTAAGCGAAAACAGTGAGCCACTTCAGGCTGCTGATATCTCCTTAGCATTGCCTCGAAGAATGTGACCTGGCAAATCAAACAGGCTCACACAAAGTTCCAGGAAGGCCGATCACCTGACGGAAACACCATACCCTGACCCCTTTAACCCGGATAGTGGGGCTTCGGGGCTGTCTCTCGTACAGAAGACGGCAAAGGCGCAAGCTCACGGGGAGGACACTCGTTCTTCTCCATCTCCTTCTGCAGTGCCTGCAAGGTTCGAGGTTTGAAGGGTTTGTGGCGTGAAGTTGAGGGCGTTCAAGTTGCTCCAAGAGCTTTCTGCAACTGCCCACCTGCAAAACCAACAGAAGACCCTGTGTTCCCCAAAGCCCCCACAACTCCTGAAACAGCCAAACTAACTCACAAAGCAAGCTGAAGATGCGAGGCCCTCGGCCTCCCTTTCAAGACCATGCGTGCCGTTTGCGGTTTCCCTCACAGGATTGCTAGCTGTGAGACTCCCCACAGACACGCCAGCCCATTGTGTCATGCTGTCACACACTCTGGGCTGAGTTGGTGCGCCGGCGAAAAGAGGCCACACTAGTACGACACAGGCACACTGCCCAACATGACCTCAGCCCCAGATCCTCTACCAGCAAACCCCAGAACCTGTAAGGGGTTTGTTTTAAGTTCGTCGACTGTACACATCGTGTGTCTTCCTAGTCTTGGCCTGAGTAGCAAGGATGTGCCCACCGAGTTAGCGCTGCCATCATTTCCCATGTTTCCCGGAACCACATAATATCATTAACCCCATAAAGACTGAAGCAACCCGAAAATCTGGACTATTCGAGGGCACTTCACGTCCGGTCTTGGAGCATGTCAAACCCTAAACTCTACACACCCCAAACCTGTGAGAAAAGCAGGGGGCGGTAGCAAAGCGCTCTAAATACTCATCCCAAAGCCCTTATCTACCACCTTTAGATGCCCTGGCCATTCAAAGCGCCCACTGCACCCACAACGAGCCCAACATCAAATTGGCCTCCAGATCAAGCTTTGCCTTCTTGGCGGCCCTCGGATCGAGGGTCAGCGTGTGTTGGCTTGGGAAGCTGGATTCTTCCAGCTACGTGGAAAACTACTGCTAAGTGTTTCCTGCAACTTCTTTTTGCTAACTTGGCGCTTTGGGGGTGCTCTTGGAGCATGGGGATTGAGGTAGGTGTGGCAAAGGTCACGGATGCGCCCAAACCTTGAACCTCGTGGGTTTCTCAATCCAGTTGTCTTCCAGGACACCCCCAACCGCTATGGCCCTATGGGCTTGGAATGGCTCTTGGCAGCCCAGGTGCTTGCCGGCACCCGCTTCCACCTGAGCCGGCACGCTGCCGTAGCCACCTCTGGAGACCGACAGCCCTTCGACCACACGCTCGCGTTGATGCCCTCACATAATCGGGGAAGCGGGTGATGCCCGCCCGGCCCGCCCCCCAGCAGAAGGACACCCCAAGGCCTATGAACAGGTTGTCGGAAAACGATGCGGCCAGAAGAGCCTGCCGGAAGCTCAGCTTACTGGGCATGATCGGAAGCAGAAACGGCTCTCAGAACCCGCAGAAAGTTAGCAAGATTTAGCAAGGAGTGTGCAGCAGCCTTTGTCCCGAGCAGGTTTCAGCGTCCCTGCCTTCAGAAACCTTGGGTCGGTTTCGAAGGCCTTGGCATGACATGGACATGGACCGCAAGAAACGGCGCGGTCTCCCCCTATGATCCCCCATGTCGTCCCTCTGGCCCCCATGGCGACGCCTTTGCCCTCGTGTGCCCCACTTGACATAACATACCGGACCAGTCAGCCCCCGCACGCGCGCACCTCCTCATGTCGGAAGGCCCTCCAATCCTGAGCCCAGGTCATGGGAAACGGCAGGAGCCCCGGGAAATTTGGAGAACGCACGTCACATTGGGATCCGTGAGCCTCGCAAGAAGTATTCAAAGGGCCTATGGCATGAAACCAGCCATCTTTAGACCTACAGCACCCTCCTCGCCTTCCAGTCGATGCCAGCCAGGTCCCCCTTCTTGTTGATGACGTAGCCGAGGCCCCGCAGCAGCCTGGCAGGGCACGGTTCAAGGATTCGCAGTGGCACGGAGGGATGTGAACCGAGGTCAAAAACACATTCCCCGCGACCCACGATCTGCACACGCAAGGGGGAAGCGAGCCGGCCGCCACTCGCTCAGGGACTGCTCGGCTCGGGATTTTGGGTCTGTGGCTCGGTGTGCCCGGAGCCTGAGAAAGGTTGAAGATGGTTGAAGGGGTTCAGGAGCCTGAGTAAAGTTGAAGATGGTTGCAGGTTTGCAGGGTTTACAACGGACTGTTTACGGGGTTAGGTCATTAAAGAGTTGCGTGGTTTTCTTCAAGGGCTCTGAGACAGGGGGGACGAAAGGGTAAAGCACCTAACGGTGCCCTTTCTCTTGCCCCGAGCCCTGTGTAACGCAGGGTGAGACCCAAAGCTTGGTCCCAGACCCTGACATTTTAATCCTATCGCCTGACCTTGCTTAAACCCTAGCATTCCCCAGCCAAAGCCCAAACTGAACCCTAAAGCCCCAAAGCGTCCTAGCACTCGAAGAAGCACCCTAAAGGACCTCGAGCCCAGCTGGGGCCCCCCACGACAAGTCCACAACGTGTGCGACCATGTGGTCCATCCTGTGCATTGGGTTTAGGGCTTCTACGGGGGTACAGAGCAGTGTTCGTCAGAGTTCGCCTCCGCGCCTCTTTTTCTCCTTCCCTCGCGGCTCCTGGGCTCCAACGCCTTTCGGGACTTTCGGGCGCGTTGCAAGGCCCGGAAAGCCTCGGCAAAGAGCCCGAGGCGGCGCCGGGGCCTTAGCGCCAGGCGGAAGGCGCGGAGGCAGGTCGCCTGCAGGTCCAGCTCGGAGTGTCCAGGCCCTGCCACACCTCAGCTGACGTGGCCATGGCCCAAACCGCGGGCAGTTGACAATCTTTACCTTGCTATGAAGCCATCCCCTTAGTTTGTCAAGGTGCTTGCACGCATCGCTGTGGATCGTCGAGCAGCCCTCCAGGCAAGTCGCAGCATCTGCTTCGTGACGAAGGATGGCTGCACATTGCCCAAGTGAGTGCTCCGCCGCAGCAGGAGCCACACGAATCGTTGTACACACAGCCTACACACGCTGGCCACGCTCGCCAGGACGCAAGCGTCAGAGTTCAGTCGAGGGTCGACGAGCAGCGGCTGTAGCTTCAGGTCCATGAAGACCATCAGCTTGGACCTGATGACGCCCTGCCAGGTGGGGCCGGAGTTCGCACGACGCGAGCGGGCAACGGCCAATGTATCCCGAACGTGAAGCACCGGCTTCGATGGCCCGATATTCAGCAGGCCCCCTTCACTTTGCAGTGAGAGGCCGGCCCAGGGCACCTCGCCGCTTGGGCCGCTTGGGCCGCTTTCGCTTCTTGGGCCGAGCCGCCGCCTCTTGGCCCGTGGCTCGAAGTGCGGCTCCGGCTCGGCGGAGAAGCGGAGTGGGAAGTTGGCCCGGCACTTCCGCAGGTTCAGCTCACCCCCAAAAGCGTTGTCCTTAGAGGCCAGGCTCGTCAGGAACCTGCAACAAGGCTCCTCCGTGCCCGCACACACGTAGAGGAAGTCATCCACCAGGCGAAAGAAGAAGGCTTCGTCTCCAAGGTCCCGGCGGAGCTCCGGCGGCAGGTGCGCATCACCAGCGCCCATGTGAAGGGCACACAGGAAGGGTGAGAAGCGACCTCCCTGAGGTATGCCCCTCACCAGGAACTGTGTGCGTTCACGCTGTGTGGCCAGCGTCGCTGCACATCCTTGCACGGCGTTTTTAAGCGTTGCCATCACGTCCGAGAGGCGCAGAGTCTCCGTGCTCGAGGGCTGGATGACAAGCGGCTCCTTCCGCAGGGCCGCAGGGCAGCGCTCCGAGAGCACCAACTGGTATAGGGACTCCTCTGCACGCAGCGCGACGTCCAGCAAGCGCTTGGCGCGACCTGGGCCACCCATTCCCATCGCCCGCTTTGCCAAGACCTTTGTGACCCGGTAGCGCGGTGACAAGGGCAAGTCTGACACCCGGCGAAGCAGAGGATCGTGGTGGATGCTGTCGTAGCAGTTCCGCAGATCTGCCACAGCCACAAAAAGCTTCACCTTTGCAAGGTCCCGACCACTCCTGAGCACGGAGCTCTTCAGCCCTTCAAAAGCTGCCACCAGCCTTGCGTGAACCTCGTTCTGGCTGAGAAGTGACTGGCCCAGCACGTTGGGATGCAAGGCGCGCAGATGTGCCAGGACCGGCAACACTTGGCGCTGCGTCTTGGGCGGCAACGCTGCCTGCTGCGTGGCCCACTTCCTTGGCTGCTCCACAGCTGACCACTCTATTGCACCTCACTTGGCCTGCTGGTGGGGTGATGGGCAAAGCGGCGGTGAACACAATCCCGCCTCACCGCACCCGTGACACAATCCTGCATCACCGCCATCACCCCCACACCCTCAACGCACTCCCGCCTCACCACCATCTCCCCGCATGTACATTTTGTTGAAAAACTGTTGAAAACAACAACTGATATATCACCGTTGACCCGCCCTCGACTGTAGATGACGATGACGGCAAAAACGCAAAAACAACGCTGCCGTGTGAACGAACATGATGGCGGCGATGATGGTACTGGCACCAGGTCTCAATGATGCATGCGAACTTGACAACTAACAGAAATTCTGAAATACATCAATCTTGACCCCCTACACACCCTCAATTTCCTATGACAGAATCCGTAGCTCGCTGCTTCCGGACTTTGCAAGTGATGCAGACCTTTTGCTTTCGCTCGCAGGAGCTCATTCCTGGGACTAGATGCACTGAATGTCATGAAATGACTACTGAGGCTCCCACGACCCGAAGGCCTAAAACCGGAACCCCAAAGGCTCAAAAAAGGCATATCCAACATTTGAGCACCACATAAACTCTCAATGCTGGCCCGGGAGTCGCCATGGTAACGATGGGGCGCAGGCCCCGCTTCTTGGGCACCCAACGGACTGTGGGCGGCTTCTGCCAGTTGCCTGGGCTTTTGGCCCACTGCTGGATGCTACTGCTGGATGCTACTGCTGGATGCTGCTGCCGGATGCTGCTGCTACTGGTAAAACATTGGATGCGCGATCCATGTACCTTCATGCTTCCAAGTTGCCGGAAGGCTTCCGCGACAAGCTTGAGGAAGCACTTGCTGACCTAGATCTGGGCATGTTGCTACATATGAAACGACAAACAGCCTATACTGGCCTATACAGGATAGGCTAGCCTAGAGCAGGCAAATAAATTTATTGCAGACGTCGTCGCAAAAAAAGCTGATCGGCAAGCGGCGGGGGCGTGGGGCTCTTCGGCCTGGGGCGCTGTGGGTCGCGCATGCAGAGGTGCAGGAAGCCACAATCCGCGCGGGTCCTCAGGAAGTGCCAAATGTGCTTCCGGAAGAAGACCGTCCGCGTGCCTTGAGGCTCCGCCTCTGTGGCATAGAAGTGCTCCCGAAGGAGGGGCACTGCCACATGTGCCAGCAAGAAGTAGCACACCCGGCCCAGGACCTCGGCCATTGCCCCCTTGTCGGCCAGCTGCCCTGGCCTTCGTTGCCTTCGCAGCATGGCGGCCTCTTGGAAGGATTGAACGGAAAGGCCCTGAAGCACTGTATGCAGGGAGAGCTCCTCCCCACGCCGGAGGTAGACGAAGCTTCGCAGGACGTGGCAAAAGGGTTTCCAGTTTCTGGAGCCTAAGAGGTCCTCGGCGCTTTTTCGTCCCCCAAGCAGCTCCAAAAAACTTGAGATGAGGAACTCGGCCACAGCTCTGGGGTGCAAAGCACATGAAACGGCGGGGAAGTTCTTCATGAAGTAGATCTCCGCCTTGCCACCCGTGCAGGTGTAACCCTCGCCTTGGCTCAGACCATCCCAGCTGCACAAACACTTGAGGCCGGTCAATCTGTTCGGCTTTCTTTTCGGCTCACATGGAACACCCGGAGGAGGAGGAGGCCGCTTCCGTAGAGGATTGCTGGCCTCAAAGATCTTTAGGACCATCATGGCATGCTTCGCCGGACAGCAGGTGCTGAGAATGGCCTGGAACTTCACTGTGGAGGTTCGCTCCAGCAATGCCAGCACGGGCTCAAGCAGGGCGTCGAAGACTTGACGTGTGAAGTGGCGCGAGGCTGCTGGGAGCCTCGCCTTGGCCGCCTTGGCCGCCTCGGCCGTGCTGCAGCACGGGCTGCGCGAGCCACGTGGGCCACGGCGACGCCGCTCACGTCGGCTGGGCAGCGGGGCCGCAGCCCTGTCCAAGGCAGGGGCCGTGGCGAAGCCCGTGGTGAAGAGGTCGGAGGACAGCATCCAAGCAACGAGACGCTCGGCCCCAGGCTGGTCAGCGGGCAACCGGCGCAGAACACTCCGTACCGGGAGACCGGCACGTGCAGCGAATCGGCAGGAGTAGAAGATGCGGCGCTCCACGAAAATGGAGGCTGGCTTCCACATCTTCGGAACTGGCACGGAGCTAACTGAGCTAACTGAGCTAACACCCGAGCCAGGGCGCCCCACCAGCTGCAGCCAGCGGGATCCTGGGGGCACGTGCAGGTAGATCTCGTGACCAAAGAGCTTGAAGAAATGGCAGTCCCCCAGAAGCTCATGCAGTGCCTGCCATGGGGCCGACTTAAGGATCTCCATGGAAGCGGGGGAGTTCAGGCAGTCCATCTGTCCCTTGACCTTCGGAAGCATGCCCAAGGCATGTTGCACCATCGGCAGCAACTCGTCTGGCGAAAATCGGCAAGTGCCAACGTTTTGAGGGACCGCCTTGAGGTGCTGGGGCATCCGAGGAGCTCCAATCCGCGCAACAAGCCGCACATTCAGCAGCAGACACCGGAGCTCCTCCGACAGATTGGTCTCATCGAAAGCCCGCCCCTCCTCAGCGAAGGCCGCTGCGACGAAGTCGCGGAGTCGTCGGGCGGAGCCGAGGAAGGAATCGATTTCCACCCGGGAGCCCTGCGCTGTTGGCTCCTTCCTCGGCGTCTCTTCTGCCAAAAACTCTTGCATCCCTGGGCTTTAGTTAACCACCTGCCTAGCAATGATCGAGAGACAGCATAGTACAAACCCAAAACTGTTCAACTGCGCAACACTCCAGGATTCTGCGCAGGATCGGACCGCCTTCTCTTCGGCATGGCATCAGGGCCCGTGTTCTCCCAAGACTCAATGATGGTTCCTTTAAGGTCTGGTGGGGCTGTATTGGCATGTTGGAGAAGGTTTGCAAAAATCCTGCAACATGCTGGGACGACAAGCCTTGGGACACTGAGGCGTGTGGGCTTCGAGCAGACGCGTAAACTTGCTTGCTTCGAGAAGGGCACACACTCTACATAAAGCCGTGCTTGCACATCTGAGTGCAGGACCTGCCGCGTGACAGGGAGTAGTGAAAAGAGAAGTTGGAGGTATGCCTGCCAAGCCGCGCATTCAAGAAAGCCTGCCCCTGCAAAGCAGCGCCATGTCGTAAGCCGACGTAAGCCACGTGCTTTCTTCTGGCCCACAGAATTTTGTCTTTGTCACCCCACCTCAGAAGCGGCGGGTTCGGGGTAACGAAAGGAGGAGTAGATAGGTGGACGCTAAGACTCCGGCACATAGTGATTCTTGTGAAACTCCGCCAGCCATTCTAAGAACAGCTGCCGGTGCATCAGAGGCTCAGAGAGCTCCTGGCAGGTTCATTAAGCCACCCGGCCCTTGGTGGAACTCAGCCACTAGCACCACTACAGTGTGCAAGTAAAGGGCTGATGCGGCATGAAGCTTGCTCTGAAGCCTGCAGAGGCCCCTAAAGGGTTGTGGGGCTGAAAGGCCGGACGGAAGCCTAAGCCCCAAACCCAAGGAAGCGACACCCTGGACACGAGGCCCAGGCACCGCCATCGAACAGCAGCCTGGCGTCTTGGGAAAGACTAACAAGGGTTCTCGTGGAACGAACTTTTGTGTGCAGGGCTCGGGGATGGGGGCGTTCAGTTGGCTTAGGGTTTTGCGGTTCGAGGAGATGGGACCTCAGACCGCTTTGGGGCTAGGAGATCGAAGAGATGTTAAGAGATTTGAAGTGTGGGGGGTTCGAGCGCTAGAAATGTTGGAAGCCTACGGTATCGGTCAGGGCCACTGCGATCTAAAACCTACAGCTGTGAGCATCTACGGTTTCTTGTTTTGCCTTTTGAAATTTCCGTTGCTTCAGCTGCCTAAATCTCAGCGAGGGTGCTCTGATCCTTCACCCATATGTATCATATGTCAAGCCCAACCAGGAGCGCCGGGCCTGGCAGACGTCGCTGAGCGGAGGCGCTCGACAAAGTCATGCTCCTCGTTTGTTAATCTTGTGGGATGTGCAGTGGGCTTACACGGAAAAAGTTGGGGGAGGGTTTAAGGTTGGCGGGAGGGGGAGGGGGGCATCACAGGGCGCGTGAAAGAAAGATACTGCCCATAGAAATCCGAAGGCTCAAGAGGACAGTTGCGCATTTGCGCTTGGCTCCCAGGGAACCCTACACTCCGGACTCTACACCTCCACGCCGTCCTCCCGCATAAAGAGGGGGCTCGGCATGGAGAAGGCATCCAAGGAGCTCAGCACCGACCTCGGTTTGGAGGCAAGGCAGCCTCAGTAGACAAGCCAGACTGCTCGACCTGAACCCTGACACTAAACTGAAAGCCCCTGAGCTGTTGGCCCCAAGAAAATCAAGTGAAACCCCACCAAGCTTCCAAGATCAACTCTTCTCTCCTTCACCTCACCCCCAACGCCCATGAACTTCAGGGCTTCGAGGCTTCGAGGCTTCGAGGCTTCAGCTTCCAGTGTATTAGGCCCCAGCGCCAGGATCACGGCGTCCGCCAGCAGGCCGAAGTGGGCACCAAGCCAGACAAGCCGGGATAACCTGAGGGGCATTTCACGGATTCAAGGTCTGAGGTCTCGGGTCTGGGGGTGTATGGGGCTTTTTGGTTTTGTTGCACATGTCTGCACAGCAGTGTTTTGACGTCCACTTGGGTGTCAGTGGCGCAAGCGCTATGTGGCATCGCTTCGGACTGACGAGGTCGCCCAAAACCCGAAACCACCAACTGTAGGGCCCGCACTTCAGGTCCAGAGGAAGCTGCAAGCACAGCCGTCCCAGAGCTGTGATGTACGCTTCCTGTGCATTTCAAAAACGCACTCGTGCCGATAGGGACCCTGAACCCCAAACCCTTACCCATCCTTACCCCGGAACTCTTAGTCCTAAACCGCGAAAACCTGTAAACCATGGCCTCCGTACACTCCGAAATGGCCCCCAGCTCAGCGTTCTTCTCGCGGGCGAGCTCCACATTCTTCAAGTCTGGAGCCTGCTCGACAGTTTCTCGAGAATCTCGAATATGGCTTTAGGAAGGTTTAGGAGTCCAGCGGCCAGATGCGTGCAGCACGAACCACATTGGCTGCTTTCCGCGGTTGCAAGCAGCAATGCATGCAGTTTTACTCGGGGCATGTGAAGCCCGCATGTGTAGCCGTGTAGCTCGTGATGGCCGCAACGAATTCCTGTTGCGCACTTCCATACCGATGCTCCACACATGCGCATCTCAATCCCAAGCTCTGAGCTTCAAACCTTGAAATCTCAGGTCTTAAGAGTCCCGAAACCCAAAGAACATAAATTGACATGAATCCCAAAATAGCCTCCGCCCACGACCCAAGCCCCCCTCGACTCTGAAAACGCGCCTCCGGCATCTGGGCCAGCAGCTGCGCTGCATGCCGGGGCCTGATTACAACGAACCCCAGATTGACTTAGGCAGTAGGGCTTGGGGGGCTTTAGGGCTCAGATTCTTGGGCTACAGCGTTTTGGGGGGGGGGGGGGGGGGGGGGGAACTTTATTCAGAACCGGCACTAAACCTTCCGAAAACCCCCAGCAACCCCCAACCGCACAACCGGGAAGAACCTTTGTGTCTCCCTTCCATCTGAGGTCGGCACACGCCAGGGCCCTCCAGGCTTCGGCCAAGGCGCTCAGAGAGCTGCTTGGCCTGCTTTTCGGGTTCTCTTGCGATTAATTAGAAGAATTGGAGCACAGGCTTGAGCTGATTTCGGGAAGAGATGCATGCCAAAGAATCACATATGCACCGTTCCCTGCCACTCGAAAACATACATACATAAGGGTTTAAGGTGTTGGGGGATTGGGCTTTGGAGGTCTGTGTAGGACACGTGAGCAGCAAGAGTATACCTCGAGAGAGAGGGAGGACGGCCTCAAACACAAGACACGAAAGCGCCTGGTACTTGGAGCCTAGAAACCCTTCTAGCCCTCGAAGTAGAAGACACAACATCCTAACCTCAAACATCCCCAGACGGGCTTCAAACACTTCCCTAATTTCAGACTGCTGCAAGATGCCGGTGTTCCAAACGTTTGCTGAAGCCCTGGAGGCCTGCAGGTAGAGCCGGTCGAGCGACAGAGACCTGGACTTTGGAGGAGGATCTTAGGGCACTTTGGGTGCATTCTTGGGCTAGTGAAGGGCTTTCTTAAGCTTCTGTTTCTCCATGTTTCTCCAGGGCACATCGACTCAGGAGGCTCGAAGTCTGGCATGGACTTCTCGTGGAACCTCAGCGGAATTCGGAGAGCACGTGGCGCAGGGAAAAAAGGAATCATGGGAATAGGAGAGAAGGCTTTCCATCGGGAAGGTGACACAGTTGTTGACGAAATCGCGTTCTTGGCGAAACTGTGCAGCCGATAGTGAAGCGGCTCATTGCGGGCGGGGCAGCATCAAACTTCGATCCGGCCCTGCCCGGAAAGAACTGCCCAGCTTTCGGCATCTTGCGGCGGAGTTGAAACAACGTCAGCAAAGACAACAGGCGCTGCATCAATTCATTCTTCTTCTTCTTCTTCTCCTCCTCCTCCTTCTTCGGATTTGTTCAGGGTCTGTGTGAAGCTAGGTGTTGAGACTGGAGAACGTTTCCCTGAGTTGATAATCCCCAGCATTCCCCTGCACCGAACAATCTCTTCTTCTGCAGGGCGTGCAGGGCGCATTCTCCCCCCGTGCTATCCAGCGAAAGGCCCCCCCCTTCTCTTCTTCTTCTTCTTCTATGGGGCACTCTCCCTCCCTCCCTCCCGCCCTCCCTCCAGGGCACATCAGCGTGTGCTTTGAAGCAGGCTGCGGAAAGCCAGCTTACGCTAGAGGTAGCTTACATCATTCAAGCAGTCGAATCCACGAGGGCCCCTTTTTTGGAAACCATACTCCACCTCGACCTCGGCGGCGTGGCGCTGGATGCAGGCTTCGGAATTTCGGGCCCACCCCGCACTGTGCTCTGGGACCAGCGCTGCCGTGGGTAGAGCCGCAGGCAGATCCCCGGCTGAGTCCGTCCGGCGCGCCTGAGACTGCCACTTGTGCTGACAAAAATCTCTGGCGCTACCACCATATTACGTTTAGGGTTTTTGCGTATGGGAAATTTAGGTGTCGGAATTTGTTGCGCTCAAGAAGGATCTCAGGCTCAAGCTTGTGATATGCATGTATTAAACTTTGGTGTCACAGATGTTAGGAATTGGCAAACTGCCGAAGAAACCAGCGCACATCCTGAGCCCAGGCAGTGAAGTTACTGAAGCCCTCTAGGACCTGAAACCTCGAACTCTGGCACACAACATCGAAATTGGCTCGGTGGTCGGGCCCACTCCGCTGAGTTGCCGCAGCCTTGCTGATCCTCAGTTGTAAGACCACGAATTGCGACACGAACTTCACCAGCGCAGGCTTTCAAAATGGTCTGTACATGATGATCCCTCTGACAGCAGCGATGGGTTGAGGGCTGAGGGTTTCGAGGCCCCAACTCGACACCGCTTCAATCCCCAAACCTCAACCCGCAAAGCCTCAAGCCGCACACCCTCAACACCCGTGGACCCCAAATCCCCAAATTGACAAAAACCCGAAACCTTCAGACCCTAAGCAGTGAACTCTCCCAAATCCCTAGCTGGGACCAGTGGCCACTTGGTGGCCAGTGAGGCGATACCCTTGGCAGGGTCGTGGTCCATGCCTCTCGAGGGTCCAGGCGGCTTGGGGTTGAAGAGGACAAGGGGGATACAGTAGTCCTCAGGCCCAACAGGCTTGCAGCAGGGTCTAAGTCCAGGAAACTCTTTTGTAGGGTTTCAGACTGGAGGATCGTTTTCGGTACAAGCGGATGAAACGGATGAAGCCCTAAACTCTGAAGCCGAGATTCCCGAAGCTTTGCACCTACGCTCCCGAAAAGAAACTCCCACCACACCCTAAACCCCTGCTAAAATCATCCGGAACGCCCCTGCACCCCTGAACCCCTGAACCCCTTACTTCCAAGCCCCATAACAAGTCCAGATGCGGCGGTGAAGTCCCAGGTCGATCACGGCCACGACCTGGGCTTCGGCTTTGCGTGACGAACGCAAGAAAAATAACTGGTGAGTCTCTGTAAATTTCCGTGCTCGGACTTTCCGTGACACGGCAAAGCCCACGCTCCTTTTTGCTTCGCTGCCGGCATGCGCAAGGTCCTTCGGGCAATGGTGTTCGGCAAGAGCAAAGGCACAATATTGGGGGTTGCTCTCAAGTAGGGCCCTGTTTAGGGGACTTATACAACTGAGCCCCTTGCAGACCACTTTTGCCAACCTGGGCCGTGCCGGGTCCTCTTCCGCTTCTCGAGCACCATCATGCATACAGCGTTGGTCGCGTCCGGGTTGTCCTGCCTGAGAACCAGGGCTGATAGGGTCTAAAGAGAGTTGGGCTACTCCCCAACTTGCCGCATGTGCCCTTCAGAAGGAGCTCTATAGGCGTAGTCCAGGTCGGGCTGGTGGAAGTTGGGGGCAGAGCAGAGCCGGAAGAAAGACAATGCAGGAGGCTCAGGCTCGTACAGATAAGATTCAAGCGAGGCTCTGTTCTCGGGACGTCAGCCGGATGTTCCGACAGCTCATGCCCATGGCATAAGGGAAGCTGCTACCTCGGGGGCCCAGATGGATGGGAGCTTCTGGAGGTGAAGAGACATCACATATGCACGCAAGAAAGCTGTAGGAGAAAGCACTTGAGATTGTGAAACTGGGTGAAATTGCGCGAAGCACGTGAGAGTTACTTTGAGTCACTTGCCTGCTAGGGGGTAGAGTCTGGACAAGAGATCCTCGTCCACATCCACAGCGGTGCCCTTCGGAGGCTGGTCATATTCAGAGAGCACTTTGTTGACGACTCTCCTGAGTAATAGCACTGAAGACCTACGACATCCTACCGCATTGTCCATGTGTCTAAGTGTCTAAGCGTGTCTCACAAGTCGAGGCAGCTTGGGAGCAGCAGGACACCACAGATTGGCATGGAAGAGCCACAAGAGGAGTCTGAAAGCACAAGATCGCCCAAGTCTCCGCTCCATTGAGCTCTGGCAGACAACCAAACAGCGGCCACCCATCACCAAGGAGTCGAACGCTGCACGCAAAGCTGCGTCCAGCTCCTGCACTTGCGGCACTTGCGGCCTTAGGGTTTGGGCCTGGGCATCGCGCGCAGGGAGGCAAAACTCACGTGTGGGAGGCATGTCACATTGCCCAGCCGGCAGGCTTAAACCATCATGAACCACAAGATGATCGAAAATGCCTCTCCTCATTCTCGTTGTTGATAATCCGCCTAAGGCCGGCCAAGATCGAGGACATGGACGGACGCGTGGTCGTTGTGGTGGCTAGGTCCTGCAGAGCGGAGCATGTTGGGGTGGGATTGGTCTTGGAATGTGTTTTGCTGTCTTGGGGGCGTGGGCGCGCTTGGGCTTGAAAACCCAGAACCCACGCTGTCGGGGCCCACGCGACCACTCTTCTGATGCAGACCTCTTACAGCGCCCATATTGTTACAAGTACAGACCTTCGTCTTAATTTGTAACATGCGCGACAAGAGATGGCTTGGACAAATTCGCACAGCCCTGTTACAAGTTCCGGGCACAATGATGCTCTTTGTAACTTGGCATGCCGCACGGGCGGACTGTTCCAAGCCAACGATATTGGCACACGGCCATATGATCATTCTCGCGCACTTAGTTTTGCACGGACATCTCCTGCTGCGGAAGCAGCCGCTCTGTGAGATCGAAGATCTGGCAGGGTTCAATGTCATGCAGTGAGAAGTAGAGTGGGCTTCAGCCCCAAAAACTTCAACCCAGCTAGGGTTCCACCTACTTGTGAGTTCACCTAAAACTCGAAGCGGATCCTTCCCACCTGCGAAATGGAGGTGAGGCCCCCCAAACGCCGATGCTCGGCGAGCAGCTCCCATGCGATGCGATCGCAGATCCTCAAGAGGATGCGGGCAAGGCTTCAGGGGACACGGGCTTTTAGGGTTTCGGGTTTACTTCGGGTTTCGAATGCACGCCTGAGCCAGGCTTAGCCACCTTTGCCGTGGATTCGACCCGTCGGAGCCCCCTGCACGAAACCACAGGCCTGGGACAGGTAAGCCCCGCAAGGTAAGCCCGCAAGGCAAGCCCAAGGTAACCCTAAGGTAAGCCCAAGGTAAGGGCAAGGTAAGGGCAAGGTACACGGGCGCGAAGAGGCTGTGGTCTGAAAGCAGCTTGGAGAGCTCCTCGAAGCCCACGGTGCTGAGCCACTCAGAGCAGGGGATCCCAGCCTAGGCAGGCGGGGCACGAAAACGGGGAAGGGCACGAGGGGGTAGGGCACGAGGGGGGGGGGGACAAGGAGGATCAAGAAAATTCGCTCTCTTTGGGTGGCTAGTGGGAGGTCTTTGGGGTTTCCTGATTGAGAGCGGCCTGCTAGGGGGCCAGACTTGGGGCTCGTCTGGGAGTTTGGATTGTTTCTCATTCTCACATGACTCTCACACTCTATTTTTCTATTAATGATCTTCACGGCTTTTGCCGATGCTCCAGGCTCCTTGCTCAGCGAGAACTACATAGAACGACTACAACCACTCCAAGCAGTATCGGAGCTCGACACTGAAACGATCCCTACCCTGGGAGAGGACAAAAGCCTACAGTACCCGATACTGCCGCCAAAACTCTGAAGCTAACTAGCACTCACCCCTCCCCGACCTCAACATCATAGCGGAGGTCCAGGGGTCCTCGCTTGATGCCCCGCCTTAATGGCAGTCAGTCGGTTTAGAGTTATCAAGAGCTTGGGGTCTGGGGAGAGCTTCGTGCTTTGGGGTTTGGGCCTTCTTTCATTGGGTGCTGTCGCGCGGCTTGCACAGCTTCCGAACTCCGAAACACCCCAAAGCCGAAAACCATGAAGAGCACATCCTCCTTGTTCTGGGGTCCCTGGCTGTGGGTCCAGCTTGGAGTCGGTGGTGAAGCCGCCGTTGAAAAGGATGCCTTGCACCTCAGCTTCAGGATCTAGGAGAAGCGGAGAAGCCTACCAGCCTGAGAACCCCTGAGTTGGAGGCTCGAAGTGTGAAGCCAGGCAAGACACTGCTTGTGAATTGTGAATCATGCCGAACTCTATGACGCTATGAACTTGGAGCAGCTGTCGCGATGTTACCAAAGAACGGAACAGGCACTGTTGCAGGCACGACGGCCATTGACGAGCAACTTAACAGTGCCACAGCTGTTGTAGTTCCTCTGCTGCGCCCACTTTAAGGGAATGGCCCCCTCAGTCCTACAAGATTTGCTAGAGGTATATCTAGAGGTGCTCTGAGGTCGGAACCTGCACGCCGCCCAGCACAGACCCAAGCTGCGCGTAGGAGGTTTTGTGCACAATCAGGCGAGGGTCCATCTTCGCCACGCGCCGAGCGACCTTGATGGCCTGCCGGTCGACATCCAAGGCATACAGCCTGGAGGTCTGTGTCAGGTCCCGGAGTAGGGCTCGCGAGTGGCCTCCTCGGCCGAAGGTGCAATCCACGTAAGTGCCGTTGATGGCCGGGTAGGCTGGTGTCCCCACCTGAACATCCCGGAAGAGCTGCAGCACGGACATCAGGAAGAGCGGCCGGTGTCCAGCAGCGGCGCCTTCGTCGAGCGCCGCCCTGGGGAGAAACAAGTGACAAAGCATTCAATCCAGAGCACTCCAAGACATTCCAAGACACAATGCTGCTTCAATGCTGCTTCACACTCAAACTGACTCAAACTCAGCCCTGCATTAGCTTTGCGCCGCCTCGCTGCTCTCACTTCACTTCTCATTAATATCATCGCGCCTGTGGTCGGCTCGAAGCTCGTTTTGCATTTCTTCCACCTCCCAGAGGTCGTCTTCCCACTCCCTCGAGTACTCGTCAGACGGATCCCGCAAAGGGGCGAGCTGCTTCAGGATGCTTCTGGAGGGAACCGCAAAACCTTGGCAGTCAAGTCTTCTCGAAGTCGAAAGCACGAGGCAGCACGAGGCACCGGCGAAAGTAGCGGGAGACGAAGCAATGCCCTCAAACGTTCCGCATGGTCGTCACAGACCCTCAGGGAGCGCCTGGTCCCCAGAAGCAGCGAAGCAACACCGCTGCCGGCGCCCACAGCTTCCGCTTCCAGCACGACATGGGGAGGGAGCCAGGCTTCGGGATTACATAAGAAAGCTTAGAGTCAGAGCTCAAAACGTTTCGAAGGGGCTGGACTTTTTTCAGGTTGAAGACAGAAGACAGATAACAACACCTTTAATGATCCAGTTTGTCGAGCATTGGTTCGCGGTTTTGTGCCAGGGAGCTGCATGGTTTGGGGGCTTCGGGCCATGGGCACGCCAACATCCCAAAAGCCCTTGCTAAACCACCCTAAACCCTTACTGCGGCAGGTCACGACATTGAACCGAAATGGCTGTGGCAGCACCCCTGGAAACTCTAGGCTGCCCCTCGTCCAGTCTCGTCGGAGGTTTTTTGGTCAGGAATGAATCAAGTCTTTGGGGTCATAAACATCAAAAGGACTCGATGGTTGTTTTTGAGGTTTGGGGGCTTTTGTGGCTTCTGATTCCTTCCTCAAGTGCAGAAATCTCCCCCAAAACAATCCGTGGGCCTCTCCGTGGGCCTCTCCGTGGGCCTCTCTGTGGGCCTCTCTGTGGGCCGCCGGGCGTGGGGGAGGGTAATGGACGACTCCGCGATGTCCGTGGCCAGGACCACCTGGGCAACTCGACGCCCAAAACGCCCAAAACGGCCGAAGCCAAGGAGAAGCAGAGGCTGCTGATAAGGCCACTGAGGCCCTCGCATGCGTGATGTCGGGATCGGGCTCCTCAAAGACCAGCTCCTCACTCGGAGAGCAAAAGACAAAGAGCAGGCTAGGGCTGAGAGTAAAAAACGTCAAAGTGACGCCGTGACCTCATCCGTAGGTCTTGGTTAGGTTTTGGTTGGTTGGGTTGGGGAGGGCACAGCTGAAGGCGCAAGAAAGGATGGGCGAATAGGATGGGAGGAGCAGCAACCGTTTAGGCGGGGGGCTGTTCAGGCGGGGCAAAGGGGGGATGGGGGTCAGACTGTCTTCGTTCGTATGTTTAAGGCAGGGCGGAGAAAACTAACAACATTTCTTTTAAGAGACTATGCACATGCGACACATGTTGTAACGGGCATCGTGTATGGCGGCGATTGTGCCACGATCTTCAGCACAGAATCACCAAGCCGTTCTGAAAGGTTCTTTGATATCAAGAAAATAGGAGGTTGAGAGATGTTCCTGCCCCTGGTCTGCCCCCTGCCCCCAGTTCTTTGACATGGCGCATGCTTGCCGAACAGAGCCTCATCGGGATGCTCAGCTGGAAGCTGATGAGTTGGGTTGGGGAGGACCCGAAAGTTGTTTCAAACAGGCGGGGGCGGAGACTGCTACCATTTGGAAGGAATGATCAGAAGTGTGGTGTACGGGACGTACCTGACACAAGGAAGGTGCTGAGCACGCGTGTCCAACAATGCTTAGCTTGCTTGCTGATTCACCCTCTGCGTGTTTGTACGTGTCCCTCCTTGCTCTCTGACTCCTGGACGCCTGATTTGAGCATGTGTTCTTGCGAACTCCGGTCTTCGCTCTATCAGTTTTGCCCACATCCCCGCCCTAAACCCCACATCCCAATTCGCGAATGCATCACAAACCCTACAGTTCCAGTCCGGAACAAAGGAGGGAGAGAGAGAGAGAGAGAGAGAGAGAGAGAGAGAGCTTCAGGTGAAAAGCTACCCGTCTGAAATTGTCGGGGTTGTCGGGTCCTGCTCTTCGCGGGGCACCATGGAGTGCAGGGGAAAGATCTTGAAGGCATTGGAGTCTTCCAGGAACTTCGCTTCCTGTGTTGTGAGGCTCTAGGGTTCAAGGCTTGAGGAAAGATGCGACATGACAGGGTAGTCTTCATAAGATAGGCATGAGACTGGCAGCTGCGATCTAGACCTACAAAGACAAAAGCTAGTTCATTGTTTTTTTAAGTTTGCGGTTTTTGTTGGGATCTGAGCTGGTTCTGGGTCTACGGTTTTGCCTTGCATTGAAGGAGTTGGCTGAACCTTCTAAACTCCAAGAATACCCCACCATCAACAGCACCGACACGGAGAGCCGAACGCAAAGCAGCCCCGGACCTGCCAAAGCGAGGAGATCTCGGCGATGCCAGGCAAGAACACCAAGATGGTGCTGGCCTGGGCTGTGGTGTCGAATCCTAAATCCTGAATCCGGTGCGCTCTGGCACCGGGTCCCCGCACCGGCTGGGCGATGACCTCCAAGAGCTCGAGGATAACGGGGTGAAGCTTGTCACCTTAGCACTCGAAACCCGAAGCCCCAAAGCCCACCCAAAGCCTAAAGTAGAGCTCTAGATGATAGCATTACTGGGCCAACACCCTCTCTACCAAGCAGCAGTGTCTTTGGTCGATCCTCTTCGCCTTCTTCTCTCTGCCATCCCCAAACATGTCCTGCAGAAAGAGAGGGTAAGGAGTTGAACACAAAGCTCACTATGGCGCTAACCACACATGTCCTACGCATGCTGACCACAGGCCTAAGAACCGCAATCGAGCCAGAAGCCCCGAACCACCCCGAAATGCCCTCAACCCCTGAGTCCATGTCCTTGACACGGCTGTTGACGATGCCCTCGCACCGGAGACGCTTTCCCAATGACCTGGTCACCTCCTCGGCTGGATTCGAATCCACTATCGCAGCTTCCAACCCCGGCCCCTAAGCTTGGAGGCTTTAGGCGCCCTCCGGGTTGGATCAAATCATGTTTCTTCCGACCCGGTTCTTGGCGCTTGTCTTGGCTCTTTGTCTTGATAGGTGCCCGTTGCAACCTGAAAACGCTGAGGTATTGAGATGTTGAGATGTGGCTGCAAAGCCCATGCCTGTGCCTGACGGCAGAGATGGGGCCAAAAACGCCATGTCAAGGCGAGCCTGAATGGAGGTGGCTGAGAGGTGGTTGGGAGGACGGTCCTTGTTCACAAAAGCGCTTGCTCGCATCAGATCTGCAAGCGGCGGCTCCAAAGAAAGTCGTAGGCTGGCATCGCTCTTGCTATTGCATCTGCGATCTCAGGAGGAGCTTCGGCGCTCACACGATCGCGCTTGCCCACTTTGAAACCGGATGATGTGTTTGAATTGTCGAAGAACCCCCTCCAAATTTCCGGGTGAGGAGGCAAAGGCCGCGTCCAATTGAGCATGCGGTCATCAAACTCAAGGTTCAGGCTGCTTAGGAGCTTGCGGAGCACTGCTTCAGGATGTTCTACGAGGTCATCGTGATCGATCACGGGTGGCTCTTGATGCAGCTGCTTCGTCACGTACTCATAAAGTGCCAGAAGGTCATCAAAGCCCACCTCCGTCTCGTTGAAGTACGAGTAGCCCGTGCGGTCACGGTCGTCCACCCCGCAAGCGCGCAGCATCGAAGTCATCGTCGGTGCCGGGTGTCGGATCAGAAAGCTGTGCCTCACCCGAGCCATCTCAGTGGAGTGCCACCATCGTCGGGGAAGTATCGAGGCAAAGTCCTTGGCGAAGCTCACTGCTTTACCTCCGGGTGGAGCCAGCAGCTCGTCCCAAACATTCCTGTACGAAAACTTCGGGTCTGGTGCGAGGTCCATGTGCCGGGGGTGTTCCCGCTCCGGACCAAGGTAGTGGACTTTTGTGAAGGGCTCGAAAAGGACCCAGGTGTCGCTCCGCTGCGCAAAGGCACGGCTCAGCGCCGACGAACCTGACCGCATGACAGCCCAAAGAATGATGCGAGTGGCATTTGGCTGCTCACACTTCTCGCTGTCGTCGCTTTCGGCAGTTTTGCTTGCTCCGACAGCCCTGGCCAGCACGGCCACAGCAAGGAATAGGAGCAACGTGCCCAACCAACAGCGTGCCATGGAGGATCAACAAAAGAAACAACGATTCCAAGCACTTTAGCCAGCCCGGGTTCAAGAGCATGAATGATATGCAAGTTCAATGTAACGATCTGGCCATGTGACCTCACAACACATATGCAGCCCCAAACTTCGAGATGCATCAGCATGTCCGGACCCTAGGCTCTAGACGGGCTCGAAGCTCCAAACCACACACTCTTCAACCCCACACTCCAAATGTTCTCCCAAGTACCAAGTCTTACATGTCGTGGCCGAATGTGGCCGAGGTTCATCCAGATAGTGCTCCTTCACAGGATAGCACCGGCTGCCTCTGAAGGCTCGAGGACGCATCAAGAGTTCAGCTTTCTGGACTTAAGACTTAAGACGATGTTATGGGATGCTTCAAGGAACCGGCAAGCAGCGGCCTACGTGAACACGGCCCACGGGGATGCTACAGATGTCACCGAAATACCGCGCAAAGAGGTCGGACTGCAAAGTCGCAGACCTGCAGATGGGGTTGCAGAGAGTCGAAGCACGCGGGTCTAAGCTTTAGACCAGATCGCAAAGTCGCACTGCTAATTCTTGGCGCGCGGCATGATGATGAGCCGCGTGCCAGGAAAACGATGCTTCGCCAGAAGACGAACCACAAGGCACAGCATGTCGCTCTCTGCACCTGAGACACAATTCGAGTAGATGTCCGCATGACATCACGATTTCGAATGTGCAAAGCAACAACTCCTCTGAGAAGCCGATCGAATTATGCTCTCTGGACAGTTAAGATCGACACTTCGCTCGTGCACCTCATCGAGGACTATGTGCGTGTACTCTCCGAACTCCTGCAGCAGCTGGTATTCCAAACACACTCAGCGATGTGTCCAAAACAGGAAACGACAGCCAACCCTCGCCCCTCGGGAAGGAGCAAGGATCCTCTGGGGCGTTGAGGAAAAGCTGCAGCGTGTATCCCACGGTGCAGAAGTCAATGTACTTGCCACGGCTACTGTCGCCTTGCCGAAGCAAGAGCTGCCGGTGCTGCCGGTGCTGCACAATGCAACACATGGGCACAGTTAAAGGCGCCCTCATCAATTGTCCCTTGAAGTCAAAGCTCGTCTACCTCAAACAGCTATAATCAGCAACGGGAGAAACATTAGACCCAATCGCAAAATGCCGACAAAGCGCCACCGATCCTGTAGCCCACTGAATCACCAAGATGCTCACCTGCAGGAATGGCGATCATGAATGAATTGTTCCAACGATTGACGGCGTGCCACTGTGGAGACTACAGGGACTGTGTATCCATGTGCGAGTGGATATATCTAAAGAAAGCCCCACAGCAACGACAGTACTGTGATCCCATACCTGTCGGAACCCAGAGCACCAATGCCACAACAAGCGCTACATTGCTACATCTCAAGATCCAAGAAGCACTCGAAAAGGCACTCGAAACAACCCCAATGGTATCCGAGCAGGCACCTAGCTCCGAAGCAACGCGGTGGGCCAAATTCAGCGCGGCCACGCGCCGCGGCTGTGTCCTCACCAGGTCACAAGTCCAGGAGGCTGGCCATCTACTAGGGTTCAAGCTGCAAAGCCCCCCTAAAGCCCTCAAACCCTTTCAGCACGTAAAGCCTCAATCCCCTTCAACCCGTACACACCGACCTCACTACGAAAGCCACGCGCAAGAAACGAAATCGGTCACTGCGATGCGAGCGAAACCATCCCGCTGCTTCGCCTGCCCAGCTTCGTGGACAGCAAGAACGGAAGCAAGCGTTGGCAACTTGAAGCTTCTACGCCTGCGCCTTAATCCAGGAAAGCGCGTGCCTTTAGCAGGGTTTCACTTCCCCTTTTGAGAGCACCCTCCGGGCTGCCTCCTCGAGGATCATCTGAGGCACCTGCTTCCATCAGATTTCCAATGCAGGCAAAACAGCCACGCAACTGCGGATGCCAAGCAGCCTCTCCAAGGTATAGGTTCAACATTCACCTGGCCACCCTGACTCCACGTGTCTCGCTCGTATTCTCCTCAACACTCAAGTAGAACACCTTTGGTCCCCAACCGGCCTGCCACACTACTGCCCTACCTTTGCTACCTGCAGACGCACTTCCCTCCATTCAGCGGAGCCAAAGCAGCACGCATGAGGAGATGAATCAGCTCCCTGTTTTGGGGGGGCGTCGTGTCGAGGGGGGAGTCACTCGCAGCACCTGGGTCGACTTGCCGCTGCCCGTCTCGCCGACGAGGCAAACGACCAATGCATCGCCACAAAGGACTGGCAATACCTCTTTTCTTCATGCGCTTCGGGGAGCTGGGGTCCAATGTGGGGTCCAAGGTGAAGCTTACGAAACTCGAGGGGGCCTCATCCCTTTTCTCCTGGATGGGCAGCACCTTTTTCACCTGGCATTGGGGGGCTACTCGGCTTTTCGGGTCTTTGGGAACAACCTCCGGTCCAGCCTCAGTTGCTGCTTGCCTCTTCTGACCACAAAAATGCCTAGCAGCCCTCACACGGGCAAGGACCTTCTGAGCCCGCAGGGGGCCCATGACAAGTTCAACCCCAAACCCGGCGAAGCGCACCCTTCTCGAAAGCCCAAATCCCAGTAGACCGCCTCACCCCTCGGAAGCCTACCCGAACGGCCTTAGGCTCATGGCTCCACTCGTACGCGCGCTTCCTTTGCGGGGCCTGGCCAGTCTCTTCAAAGTCAACATGCAGAACAGCGCAAAACAAGCAAGCCAGATTTTAACACAAGAACATTCACCAAGCGAGCTAGCTCAAAACAGCAGCGTCTCATCCTTGTTGCTCATCCATACAGACATGAAGTTGAACAGCATGACAAAGCGCATGGTGAGCCACGCGATTCCCCATCTTTCATACTGGCAGGCAGTACAAACTGAATTCCTGTCGTCATTAGCAAGCTGCGAGCAATATGTACGCCCGAATGCTGTTTTCGAAGGGGTGCGATTTCGATGGTGGCTGTAACCGGCACTGCACCAGCGACACGGAACTTTACTTCGAGAGCTTCTTAGGCACCGCATAACGTCCGTACTTTCCTGGGACTGGTGCGTTCTCGCTGCCTCCAACGCAAGAGGCCAGGGAGATGGGCACGATGTGTGCCCAGGAGCTGTGCTTGAATCGCCGAAGTTGTCTTGAACAAAGTCTTCTGCACGAGCCCCAATGCGAGCGAAACAACTGATGTGCTTAGGCATCCTTGACACTCGCAGTCGTTCATAGAAGCTGTGCGTGATATGTTCGCAGTTCTTGCGAAACAAGGCATGCTGAGCACTGCTTCCGTGAATCATTGGGCACACGCAGATGCGACTTTGTGGAGAAATCCCAGGATACCAGTACGATGTGTTAACACGTCATACTGGCGTCCTGGAAAATCCTCCACCAAGTCGCGGAAGATGGCATTTGATCGTGCCATGGACCTACTCCAGGCACGTAACCCGAAACAGCGAGCATTTCAAAGAAGACTAACTCCCACCCTTGCATACCTCTGTGCCTTGAAAACTTTCAACCCTCCTTACTGCACAGCTGCACAGAAGCGCAGCTACCGAATACACAAGAGCTTGCAGACTGTCGAATTTACTTCATGCCCAGTTGCAACTGCAACTCTGAACTCTCAACCCTCAGCTTCTGACCCAGCCCCAACCCGCAAGTCCTAAGTCCTACGTCGCCCTACAACCCCAGATCCCAACGGTTTGAGGCGGAGCCGCTTGAGGATCCATTCTTCCCGTGCCAACTCTGCACCATAGGAGGAGTTTGGGGTTTAGCAGTTTAGCCCACACAGACAAACTCCCCAGCACCTTGAAGACCCCGAGGCCTCACTGTACATCTTGCCGCCTTTGGTAGCCCAAGGGGGCTCGGATGTACCTGAAGGGGGCTTAAGCGAAGATGTGTCTATTTCGCTGAGTAGCTTGATTCGCACTCTAAAAAACAGAACCGCCAAAACCCAAGACACAGAGGATGTGGACTTTCACGTAAGTTTACACAGAGTTCAAGGCGTTATTTTGCCAACCGTACGATCAGTGTGTTCAAGCATCTGCAAACGTGGTGTGCGCAGCAGTCACAAGCCAACTCAGTTTCCAAGGCCGAGTGCAATAGGCCGACAGAAGCTTCAAGTGATTCAAACGGTTTCAGTCGCACCGCTGTTGCCAAGACTCCACTTTGAAAGGCAAAAAAGAGCTATTCAGATCTTAGCCAATGCTCCAAGAACAGATGCTATTCCAGCCGCGCTGTTTGCAAAGGCCCTCACTCTGAACAGCCCAAAGTGAAAGGGTGGCCCAAGTAGCTGAAGCTACACTAGCTGACCGTTCACTCTCAGCTTCGCCTTGCAGTTCAGATAACTCCTCCTCCAGGGCCAAAGCCCCCACCCAAACATCCCTAAAAAAACACTGAACATCCTGAACCCGCACGTCTCACCCGACAGTCCGACTGGAGCACTGGAAGCCGCGGCGCTGCCACGACGCAGCGGCGCCGCCTCGCTCATGCGGGTTTCGAGAAAGGGCTCAGACGGGAGGACTTCCGGGGTCTAACGGGGTCATCTTAAAGACTTTGAGGACGTCCTGATCCAGGATATGTGGGGTCTGAGGCTGTGGAGGGAACTGCGGTGTGTGGAATCGTGAACAGGCCGAATGCATTCGGCGGCGAATCTGTCAAGGGGGTCTGGGAGGTGCGGGCTTACATCCTTCTGCCTGTCAGCTGATGCCTAGTAGGGAATTCAGGAACCAGGTTTACCTGAGGCCTTCCGCGTCTTCGCGGCCTCGGAGGTTGCACGTCAGACCATTCCGGCGTGTGTGCTTCGCATTGCACGCTGTCGTTTTGCAAATAACAGATGCTGGGGTGGGGCAGGGCCGGCCCCAAACTCCACAATATTCCTGCGTCGAAAACCCGAAGTACTAAATGTGTACTACTTTTTGACTAAAAGGCAAACTAAAAATCAACCCAAAAAAGATCCCTGCCCTGTTGTCTCAGCTCCTGTCACACTCAACGGATCTCGGCCGGCCTGGCTTGCGGAGGGCGGCGTGCTTCGCTGCTTGGCCTGGTGCTGGAGGCGCGAGTGGAGTTTTCGGAAGGCATTCGGGCTCCATGAGGCCTGCTAGGCTTCAGGGACTCGGGGAGTTTAAGACTTTGGCCTTATGAGGGGCTTAGGGTTCGCGCTTCTAGGCGCCTCCTCCCGCCAAGGTGCCTCCTCCACGGACCTTCAGAAGCGCAGCCGAGTTGAAGTGATCGTGTTGACAAACGCAAGGAGGCTTTTTTGGGGTTTTCGGGGGGTCCCACTATCCTGCTGTGCACACATCAGCTTATCTCACAGATTGGAGCAGCACTTCGCTCGCGCCTCTTCACTGCGGGCCGGACCTCAGTCAGTTGAATCAAAAAATCCGCGGGCATAACTTGACCATCAAGCTTATCAGGGAACCCGGCTGGGAATCAAATCCCCAGTGTCACGTGCGATGCGACGCGACTTCAACCGAGAGGATGCGACCGAAAACCCATCCCTTGTACCGAAATAGACCTCAACTTCATAAACCCCACCCTAAACCCTAAACCCTGAGCCCAACACGACTCACAAGCTCTTTCGAGCTCCGTGCCTCAGCACGCTGCGGCCTCACGGCCGGCCGTAAGACCGCCGCTGGCTTCTGCCTAAAGAGGGTTTCTTCCATGCAGATTCATGCTGTTTCGGGTTTTGCAAGCTGCTTCTGTGGACTTCTGCGGCTTTGAGGTTTGAGACGGTTTGGGCGGTGTTGGGGCATGGGGTTTGGGGCCTAAGTTTAGGGGTTGCGGAATACAGGTCCCTGAACCCTTCCTGCCAATCCCTGCCAATACCTCAAAAGGCCCTCCTAGCGGACCTAGCAGGTTTAGCTTTCGGGCAGCCAGCCAAACCATGTTGCTACAACACTACAATCGAGTCCCGCAAAAAGGCCGCTCTTCGGAGCCTGTTTGGGTTTGCAGATTCGGGGGGATGTCGGGGGCCCTTGGCAGAATCAACGTCGCGCACGAGCCAGTCAAGAAAAGCGTAATAAAAGCATGCCAGCGATGCACTCCAAAATTTGTGCCCCCCCACAAAAAATA